AGTAATAAAAATGGGTTTTTAAGCAAAATATGTTACAGGGATTCTGCTTAGTGAGTGTTAAGTTCTTGTTTGCTACCCTGTATTGAAAGTCCCCTGAAGACAAAGACTTTTCAAATATTTGCATTTTCTACTGTACCAGTGTCTTGAACAGAGACTTTTCAATAAGTGATTGTTGAAGGAATGGATTAGGGGGGAAGGTAAAAGGCTCCAGTGTGACAAAATTTCCAGAGCTGGGACAGGCTAGGTGAAGACATCTCCTTAATTTTTTCTTCCTAGTCTGTAGTTCTGAGAAACAATCCTGAGTTGCTGGGTTAGGACCAGGAGATCCTGGCTGGGGATATGTCGTCATATCAAAGACATATTAATGAAGGATCAGAGTTTCTTAAGAAACTAGGAATCTGGATATATTTTTAATAAAACCAATATGTGTAATTGAATACTTGCTATATGTCTTGTATATCATTACCTATAGTTCCTACAGCAGTCCAGTGATTACATTTACACCAAATTACAGCATGTGGAGCCAGGCCTGGGGAATTTGAAATGCTCATGTTAGTAGGACCTTCTTAGAAAAGTGTTCATTATCATTGAAGAAAAATCCGAGCGCTGTCTCCGAGGCCTGGAAAGTTTCTTTGTCCAGGGACTCCAGAGTCAGCTCATAAGGTACATCCAAGTCTGCACCCAGAAAAGGCAAAACAGTTTGTGATTCCGAAGATAACCTGTACTGTGCCACTATTTCCTCTTTGGGTCTAGTTTCTAGAATACCTGGAATTAAGGAACATACCTGCATTTTCTACCTACTGATTCCTTCCGTTCAGGACACTGGAGGTAGAAAGACTGAATTGTTACCATACAGGATTGTTATGGATGAAAATAAAGTCTGAACAAAACACTGTGAAAGGTATTGAGATTGAGTACAAAACATACTCATTCATTCAGAGGTGTCCTGCTTTCAACTTTATTCTCACTCTGAGTTGTTTCTTTGTTTCCCAGGAAGTACCTATATGCTTCTCTTTCTTCTTAAATGGCTTCTTACCAATTTGCCCTTAGACATGAGTGATTTATTTTAAGAGAGCAGCTAAAAATGCTTTAATTCACAGGAGTCCATGTTTTTATTGGGCCTCCTTTTGAAAAGGGAACTGTTAATGGATTGACTGATTTTTATTTTATTTTATTTTTTTGTATTGACTGATTTTCTGAACTTGTTTTTTAAACAGCATGAATGGAGATCGGAATAGAAAGAAAGGTTTACATAATCTGATGCCTATAGATTTAAGATTTCCATGTGCCCTTCCAGAATTGTTTCAGGGTGACTACTGGTTATGTTAAAGGAAGAGGGCAATTTAGAAATGAGCTCAGGGCCCAGGATTCTGACCTCAGAGGATCGTGTGTCAGAACCAATGCCAGAAACTACAGCCTCATGCTGCTGGCCAGGCCCTCCCTCAGCTCAAGGAGGCTGTGGCACAAATACCGAAAGTGGAGAAGCAGCAAACCAAGGGGATTTTGTAAAACTTCAAACCAGAAAATCTTGAGGAGAAAATAACTTTAAAAAAAGTTAAATCTTTGCATTTAACCCAGAGATCAGGCCACCCATGTGGAGAGTGGGGTTTGCAGAAACACCCGTACTTAAAGAGCCAAAGGAAGGCAGTACAGACATATGTTTCAGTTGGTTAAGAGTCTGAAAATTTGTATCTTGTTTATTTTTATTTTCTTAAAGATTTTTAAAATGGATTTTTAGAGAGAGAGGAAGGGAGAGGAACACACAGAGAGAGAGAGAAACAGATGTGAGGGTGGAACATCAATTGGCTGCCTTCTGCCTTCTGCACCCTCCCCATTGAGCTGCAACCTGGCATGTGTCCTGACTGAGAATCAAACTAGCAACCTTTTGGTGCACGGGACAACATCCAACCAACTGAGCCACAGCGGCCAGGGCATCTCCTGTTTATTTTTGAGAAGTTTTTAAAATATAGAGAACAGAGTATAATTCTTACATTCCTGCTATCCAGAGTTGAGTGACCATCATTCAATATTGACTCAATAAAAACCTTAATAGAAGAAAATGTTGCAGATAAAACCCTATTTGACTTTCAATTCCAACACCATTATATTCTTCTCCTCCCCAAAGGCCAATGTTCTCATCAATGTGGTGTTACCTTCCAAGTCCACTGTCTGTCTGTCTATCTATCTATCTATCTATCTATCTATCATCTATAAAAGCCCAGCAACCAGAACGACGGAACAACCAGAACAACTGGTAGCCATGACACCCACTGTGGCAGCCAACCAGCCTGATCTGGGCCCCGAATGGCCCACAACAACTCAATCAGGGGCAGGGGCGGGGCCAGCTGGCCAGCTGGCCAGCTGGCCAACTGCCCATGGCCTATCCAATGATGGTCACCTCGGGGCAGGCCACCCATGCACAAATTCATGCACCAGGCCTCTAGTAGTTATATAGAAACTAGAGGCCAGGTGTATGAAATTTGTGCATGGGGCTGGGGGGTTGGAGGGAGTCAGGGTTGTCCCTCTAGTAGTTATATAGAAATTATATACATAAGTAAATGTTCTTGGGCATGGATATAGTCCTGCTTTTAAAAATTATTTAAATGGTACCATGAATGGCAGCTATCTGTTTATTATACGACAAGGATTGAGCTGAGTCCTGATAACAGCCAAGGTGTGAATTTGGAAGTAAATCCTTCAGCCCCTGTTGAACCTTGAGATGGGAAGCCCTGGCCAACAGCTTGACTGCAAACTCACGAAAGATTCTGTCCAGACCACCCAGCTAAGCCGCTCCTGTATTTCTGGCCCATAAAATTTTGAGATAGTAAATGTATGTTTTAAGCTGCTGTGTTGAGGGGTAATTTATTGTTATACATCAATAGATAACTAATATAGAGATAGATGAAATAATTGCAAATTAAAGTAAGTGTATACACCAACTTACAGTAGATGCCCATCATGAAAAATGGTATGGTCATGTGATTAATGAAATAGGCTCTGGATCCAGAATTTTAATTGTAGATCCTGGCTCTGCCACACACTTGCTAAGAGACCTAAGCAAGTCTGGTTTGTGTTTTCTTTTTCATTATATTTTCTAATTTGATAATTTGTAGCATAAGATAATAACAGTATTTATACTACAGTTGTTGTGATGAGTCAACAAGTTAAAAGATGAAAATGTCCCAGAACCTGACACATTTTAAGGGCTTAATTAATAAACTATGGTTATTCTGTATAGGTTCTTGAGCATTTGTTATTAATATATTTGCCTGAGCTATGCCTTGGTGGTCCATAAGAAGGGGGGGATTTCTTTGGAGGACAATGATAGAGCTTCCTCCCCTCCCCTTGCTACACATGAAATCCAGGAGTGATAAGAGAAGGGGCTCTCTGTTAGGAAATAGAGAGCAATTAGGCTTCTTGTGCTTTGTAGATTATAAATACTGGTGATCTGTTTATCTAGCATCCACTGTCCTCTCACTGCTTCCAGGACTTCAGCTTTATTTAAGTTGCCTCCACCTTCCAACCCATGTGATTTAAGGAACACCCACCCCACTGCCAATTCCAGTTATGGTAATCCCCTTTTGCATGGGGGCCAGGCACAGAGATCAGACTCTGTGGTCCCAGCTGCCTGGAGTAAGGCTGTGTATGCGCCCGAAAGTATTGAGCTGTGAACCTAAGACCTTCCTGTGAGCGATACTATGGTTAATGTCTTACGTGGGAGAAGCTTTGTTGGCCTTTGTGGGACCTGCATCACTGCAGACCTGCTCCATTGAACCAGTTGGAAAATACAGGTTGTTAACAGCGACATCATGTGGCTATATGATGGGATGACAGCGGTTCATATTTGTACACTGTTGGGGCTATTTTTACAGTTGTTTTTGTGTTGTTGTTTTTACAGTTTTCACATATATAACAGGATGCAACACCCAGACCAAACAAACAAACAAACAAACAAACAAAAAACCCTTTTCATTTCATGCTTCTTTTGAAAACTTGTCTATTTGTTTTCAAAGATAACAAGATAAAATCCCAGCTTCTTAGCATACTTCCTGAGGCTTTCCTCCTCAGCCTCTCTAGTGATGCAACACATTCTTCCACTTTCTCAGGAAACCCTCGGTAAGTTCCATTATATTTGTGTTTGGGGAGTATTTCTCCAGGTTTGCCATTTTCAAGTATGGCTGCACATTAGAATCACTTGGGAAGCTTTCCAAACTATGGACACCTGGGTCCCACCCTGGAGATTCTGATTTAATTGGTCTGAGGTCTGAGCAATAAGGGGTTTCAAAGCTCCCCGGTTAATTCTAATGTGCAACCAGGGTTGATAACTACTTGGGTTTAGTGACTGACTTAGATAAGCCTCCTTCGCTGTCCCTCCTGGGCCTGTCTCAGCCTTCTCTGATCATATCACAATGTCTCTTAATTTCTGGGTGTATACCCATTCTCTCTAACTAGTATCTCCAGTCAGCCACCTCTGCACCTCTGGAGCCCGATGTAGGTCCTGACATTTTGTAGAGATTTGGAAAATGATGAATGGGAAAGCAAAATGTCATCAACAAACGCTTTTAGGGTCCTCCACATGCCAGACGCCGCCGTGCTCAGCCAGGTCTGGAACATAGAGAACAGCTGGCGGGGTCCGGCAGCGAGAACTCACAATTAGGGCGGGTGCAGGTGGCGGGCGGGCAGTTTGTGGTGTGGCCACATGCCCCGGGCCTCCCTTTCACCGATAGTCTTAAGTATGTATTTCTTACCAGTAAGTCGCCCGGACAAAGCAGCACCCCAGGTAGGTGGTAAAACACCTGCGGGCCAAGAGCAGCGAATTACAGGTGTGGAGGAAGTGCGCAGGCGCAGAGGGCGACGCCGCGCCCGAATTTACAACTGTTTTGATGTAAGCCCCGCCCCCCAGCAGCGGAACCAATCAGAGGGCGCGGGGCGGTTCCAGCCTCCCACGCGCGGCCCGAGAAATCGCTCGCGGGCGTTCGGGAAGCGGGGGCCGAAGGAGACGCCTCGACGCGCTCGGGCTCGATTGGCCGGCCTTGCACCGCACGGCGCGGTAACGGTCGCGGAGGCGGGGCCCCAGCGGCGGAGCCGGCCCAGCTGGGCGCGCTGCTGGTGGGAGGCGGGCGGCCGCGGAAGGTGAGTGCGGCGCTCGGGATTCGGGGTTCGGGGAGGCGGCGGCTGAGGATCCTCCGACTCGGCTTCCTCTGGGCCCTGCGAGAGATCAGACTGTGACCCTTGTCATGATCCCCCCAGAGGAGCCGCCGGGGACGGGTTCGCGCCGATTAAAAAAATCTCCGTCGTGTGTTAGGATCGGGCACCGGGCTCGCCCGGTCACCCCGGACCCCCGCTTTGTGGTCTGCGGCCGCCGGCGGCACGTCTGGGCGCCGCGATTTCTCCGTTCACCGAGCACAGCTGGTTATTCCGGCCCGGCCTGGTGGCTGAGGAGCTTAAATGGGGCAAAAACGTGTAAATCTTAGAGCCGCGACTTTCAACCCTTTTCACCTCTTGGCCCGTAAACTAGTAACTAAAATTACGCGGCACACCAAAAAATACATACTTTTTTTTTCTAATATAATAAAACAAGACAAAAGTATAATTAATTTTATATATTTTTTGGAGTTTGTGTGTTTTATTTGTGTAAATCGTGGTATTAGACAACAGTGCACATTGTAGTGCGGTATAATTAATTTTAAAAAGAGAAATTTTCACTTAAAAAAAGAAAGGTATAGTTTTGACAGTGGAAGGGGAAGAGGTCAGAAGAGGTCAGTGCCCGGAGTAAACGGGCCGCACGTGTCGGCGGTTCCGCGGCACACCGGCTGACAATCGGTGCTTTAGGCGATGCCCGCCGCCGGGCTCTGGATAAATGGTGGGCCATTGGGCGTCTGGGAGGGTAGCGCGGCTGGTGAGCGCTCGGAGCGAAAGGCGGGGGCCGTGTGGGCGAGAGCGTAGCGGGTAAATAGCATCCTCTTTCTCCGGTTTCTGCGTGCCCTTTCCCGACTCCGGGCGCAGCTGACTCTGTGGGGCGTCTGATTTGATCCTATTAAGGAGATCCGTGAGATGGAAACGTCAGAGGCCGAGAGGCCCGTAATGCAGGCACCGGCCAGGAAGGGTTTCTAACCGCCCCGTGTTTTTCAGACTGTGATGGTATTAAGCACCGCGCAGGCATTACCCATTTGTTGTTGTTTTACTTTCTGTATTGCCATGTGACCCCACTTTGGGGGAGAGGGAGCCCCACTGGGGTTTGGCCTCAGCTGCGGCTTCCAAGGGGAGAGGTGTGTTGGGGCCTGTTATGCCACCGCTCCTGGGGCAGGATGATCGGGTTGAGATGATAACCAGTTCTAACTCCATTTCCTTATTGGTGGTAGATTCCTTTTCTTTTTTTTCTTTTTCTTTTTTTAGGAACAGTACACGGCGTGTTGGCATATTTTTGGAATAAAGCTTTTGCATTTAATAGACAGTAGAGACTTTGAAAATATTTGTTGAAATAATGGGAACGACATGCTTTTGAGAAAGTTAATCAGGTTTTAACATGACCCATTTGAGAAAGAACAGTGACTGGCCATGGTTTTATTATTTCCAGCTTCTCCTTCCCTCCCTCAAATGGTGGAAAATGATGACAGTTCAGTGTATGGTGCACTGTAACAGGATACGGCGGCCTGGGTTCACGGGCACTGGCCTCTTCCCCCTTCCACTGTCAAAATTATATCTTTTTTAAGTGAAAATACCAAAGGGGCTCTTGGGAAACCTGGGCAGTGCCAGATATACAGCTGTGTTTGGCATTGGCTTTCTATGCCACCTAGGAACCAACTCCTATCCTGCAACCCCTATGCCCACCGTCTTACTCAAGGTGAGGTATCAAAAAAGCCCCAGGCCCGTTGCAGCTACAGCTTCTGCCTTGGCAAGTGGGCTGCTGCAAACTATTACACATCAATTTCTCAGTGTGGATCTCTAAAAAGGAGCATTTGGTTACAGGTGGAATTGATGCCTTTGCCTTTTATGTTCAGTGGCATTTATGTCTCTGAGCACGCTCCTTTTTAGAACCCTTCAAATGAGAATGCCCTGCCTGGGAGGCCAGGAGGCAGAGTGAATGAAGGATAGATTTGGACCCCAGCAGGGAGAGGAAAGTTAGGAAGGGGTGGGTGGTGAGCATCGGGGTCCATTAGCAGTTACTTCAGTTGTTCAGTCTCAGTTTAGTGGTGACCAGTGCCATGAATTCCTGCGCTGGGAGTAACACAAGACCATTCTTCCCTGGAGGTTGGACATTTTAAGATTTTGGCCTGTTTATTTTTTTTGAAACCTAGATGAAGATCCAGTTTCAAACGTGAGATTCACTGGGTGATCATTTCATTGAAATCAACTTGAATGACCAGATAAAAAGTGCAAGAGGAATGTGCTGGGACTGAGGTATGCCTAATGTGACAGATGACTGTGGATGTTGGGAGACCATGGAAAGAATCTATTGGTGGTTTTTTGTTTTGTTTTGTTTTAATCCTCAAAAGAGGATATTTTTCCATTGCTTTTAGGCCAGGAAACCAACCGACAACCCAGGTTTGTGCCATTGATTGGGAATTGAACCCAGTGTAGGGACTAACGCTCTAATCACTGAGCACACAGGCCCGGGCAGATCTGTTTATTGACTTGTATACTGGGTATAATACATATATTTCCTATTGAACTCCTGATAATCCTATCAGGTAGATATTTTAAGCTCAGTTAAGGAAATTGAAGCCCAGAGAGGTTAAATAGCTAAGCTAACACAGCTGATCATCCCCTGACTCTAATCACCACCTCTGTCCTGCTATGTGCCGGGCACTGTTCTGTTTCCTTCCTACAGGCATACCTTGTTTAATTGCGCTTAATTTTTCTGCACTTCACAGTTATTGTATTTTTTACAAATTGAAAATAAGACCCTTTATCAGCAAAAAGATTCCAATCTCTAAAGGCTCAGAAGATGGTTAGTATTTCTTATCAATAAAGCATTTTAAAATTAAGGTATGTGCATTTTTTAGAATAATGCTATTGCACACTTAATAGAGTATCATATAAGCATAACTTTTATATATGCTTGGAAACCAAAACATTTGTATGACTTGCTTTATTATGGTGGTCTGGAGCCAAACCTGCAATATCTCTTGGGGTATGCCTGTATATTAACACTCATAATCTTCACAACAACCCTGTGAGCTAAACATTTTTATTATTCTCACTTCATGATAAAGAAATTGAGAGAGATTAGTACTTTTCCTGGCTGTGTGGCAGAATCCACAATTCAAATGCAGGCAGTTTGATTACAAAATTATACCAGCTTTCTTCATATTTCCTTTACTTTTATTGTTATTTAACTAGAGGCCTGATGCACGAATTTGTGCAAGGGCCTGAGGCGGCTGCCCTCTGCCTCAGCCCCCATCTGCCACCATGGCGCTTTGTCATGAAGGAAGGATATCTGGACTAATTCCTATCATATTATGCTTTTATTATTATAGATACATTTTTTAAATAGTAAAATGAATTTTATTATGAAATCAAGTAGAACACACATACCAGATGCATAGCTTAACGAATTGTTAAGAGACAGTACCATCTAGGTCAGGGTGTAGAACAGCACTACCCATGCCACAGCTGCTCTGCCGCCCCAACCCAAGCACAGCTACTTCCATTAGTAGCCATTCTTCTTACTTTTATAGTAATTGCTTTCTTGTGTGTGTGTTTTTTTAAATTTTTTCATAAATGCGTATTCCTAAATATTATAATGTAGTTTTATCCATTAAAATTTTTAAAAAATGTTTAATTTGTAGTTTTTCTCTCTATTCCTTTTTCTTACAATTTTTTTTTCTTCTGATAAAAGAGCCTGAGTCATTTGACCTGTATATCTTACAGTCTGGATTTTGCTGATTGTATGAATCGTGTATAGTTCATATGTTCGCCTGCCTTGGGTAGTTCCTACACATTAGTAGTTGGATTGCAGACTGGATCAGACTTAGTCATCCCCTTGGCAATTGTCTAAATGGTGGTTGGCAAGACCATAGGAGGTACATAATGTGTCCTTGTTTCTCTCTTCCTGATCTCAGCAGCTGGTGCTACTTGATGCCTTTATATCTATTCACTGAAGGTTGCAAAATAGTGGTATTGTATTTCTACCAGATCTTTTTCACTTATTGGTTGGAATACTAGTCCCTTATCTATCATTTGGATAGGCAGCAGTATAATTCCTTCAGGAAAGGCAGCATTTATTCTTGATTCCTATCATTTACTTGCCAGTTTTTAAGATTATAAGTTGGTTCTTTATTTCCCCCCCCCCCAGTTTAGATATTATTGAATTTACTTTTTAATGTAAATATTGACAATGTTAGACATTCACAAAGTTGAATTTTCCTATTTGAATGCATATAGATTGAAAATATTTACTTTAGACCAAAACTGGTTTGGCACCGTGGATAGAGCGTCTGTCTGTGGACTGAGAGGTCCCAGGTTCTATTCCAGTCAAGGGCATGTACATTGGTTGCAGGCACATCCCCAAAGGGAGGTGTGCAGGAGGCAGCTGATCGATGTTTTTTTTAGAAAAGCATTTATACATAAACAAGAAATTATGTGCATTTATACTTTTCCCAGTGAAAATTATGTATTATCCTCTACTTGATTTTTAATATACAAATATGTCTTTGAGATAATTCATAACCAGTACGTGAAGAGCATTGTTTATATTTACATCTACATAATATTTCCTTTGTCTATCCTGGTACATTGTATGTTACCAGAATTTATTTACTAGTTTCTAATTGATGAATATCTAGTTTGCTTCTATTTTTTTTATAAATAACATTGTAGTAATTTTGTTGATGGTTTCTTTTGCTGTGCAGAAGCTTTTTATTTTGATGTAGTCCTATTTTTTAAAATTTTCTCCTTAGTTTTCTTTGCTCTTGGAGATGTATCAGAAAGCATATTACTATGAGAGATGTCTGAGGTTTTGCTGTTATGGTTTCTAAGATTTTTATCATTTCATGTCTTAAATTTAAGTCTTTTATCCATTTTGAGTTTATTCTTGTGTACGGTGTAAGTTGCTGGTCTAATTTCATTTTTTGCATTGTCCAGTTTTCTCAACCCAATTTATTAAAGAGACTATACTTACTCCATTGTATGCTCTTGCCTCCTTTGTCAAATATTAATTGAGCATAGTGGTCAATTTCTGGGTTTTCTGTTCTGTTCCATTGATCTATATGTCTGTTCTTGTGTCAGTACCAGGCTGTTTTGAGTACAGTATCTTTGTAGTATAACTTGATGTTTTCAACTTCGTTCTTCTTTCTCAAGATTGCTGTGTCTATTTGGGGGTTGTTGTTTTTTTGTTTGTTTGTTTGTTTTGGTTCCATATAAATTTTTGGAATGTTTGTTCTAGATCTGTAAAATATGATATTTGTATTTTAATAGGGATTGCATTGAATCTGTAGATTGCTTTGAGTAGTATGGACATTTTAATAATGTTGATTCTACTAATTCATGAACATGGTATATTCTTCCACTTGTTTTTTTCCCCTCTGTCTCTTTTTTGATGTCCTGTAGTTTTCTTTTTTATGTTTTTTAAAAATATTTTTATTGATTTCATAGAGGTAGGGGGTGGGGAGAGAGATAGAAACATCAGTGATGAGAGAGAATCATTGATTGGCTGCCTGCTGCACGCCCCACACTGGGGCATTGAGCCTGCAGTCAAGGCATGTGCCTTACCGGGAAATTGAACTGTGACCTCCTGATTCATAGGTCAATGGTCAACCACTGAGCCACACCAGCCAGGCATCCTATAGATTTCTGAGTACAAGTCTTTTACCTCCTTGGTTAAGTTTATTCCTAAGTATCTTACATTTTTGTTACAATAGTAAATGGGATTTTTTTTTTTTAATCTTCTCTTTCTGCGAGTTCATTATTGATGTATAAAATGCCATAGCTTTCTGGGTGTTAACTTTGTATCCTGTTACATTGCGGAATTCATTTATTAAATCTAGTAGTTTTTTTTTTTTTTATGGAGTTTTCAATGTTCAATATCATGTCATCTGTGAATTAATGACAGTTTTACTTCCTCCTTTCCAGTTTGGATGTGTTTTATCTTTTTTCCTTGTCTGATTGTTATAGCTAGGACTTCCAGTATTATTAAAGAAAAGTGATGAAAGTGGGCATCCCTGTCTTGTTCCTGTTCTTAGGGGAAAGGTTTTAGTTTTTGCCCCTTGGGTATGATGTTGGCTATAAGTTTGTCATTTATGGCTTTTATTGTGTATGATCCCTGTATTCTCACTTTGCTGAGAGTTTTTATCAAAAAAGGGCAATGGATTTAGTTAAATGTTTTTTGTTTGTTTGTTTAAGCACTTGCTATAATTATGTGGGTTAATTTTCTATCCACTGAGCCAAACCAGCCAGGGACAGTTCTCATTTTTATGAAGCCAAATTTGTTCTTTTATGGATCATACTTTTGATATAGTTAAGAAATTTTTGCCTATTCCAAGGTCACAAAGGTTTTCTAGACACTTTGTATTTTTAGGTTTTTAGAGTTATGTCTATGATTCATTTTGATGACATTTTTGTTTATGGTGTGAGGTATGAAACAAAGTCTGTTTTTTTGGCACATAGATATCCAGTGGCACTATTTTTAAAAAGACTATCCTTTCTCTGCTGAATCACTTTTTCACCTTTGTCTTCTATGTATGGGCTTGTTTCTGGGTTTTATTTCTTTTTAAAAATATTTTTACTGATTTCAGAGAGGGTAAGAGAGAAACATCAGTGATAAGAGAGAATCACCAATTGGCTGCCTCCTGCTTGTCTTACACTGGGGATTGAGCCCACAAGCCAGACATGTGCCTTGATCAGGAATGGAACTGTGACCTTCTGGTTCATAGGTTGATTCTCAACCAATGAGACATACCAGCTGGGCTCTTTAATCTTTATTCCTTTCTACAGCTCTTTCTTTGTATCAAGGTATCTTCTGTATGAAGCATTGCTAGAATTTTTTATAGAGCAGATTTGTCATGTTTGTTTTATTTGAAAATATCCTTTGTCTTTATTATTAATGGATATTTTCACTGGGTTTAGAATTATTATTAATGTATATTTCACTGGGTTTAGAATTTTAGATTGGCAATTTTTTTTCCAGCACATTGATATTAGTCTACTGTTAGTTTTCATTGTTACTGCTAAAAAGTTATGTTCTGTCACTTCTTTGATGATGATCTTTTTTTCTCTAATTGCTTTTGAGATTTTTAAAAAAATGCTTTAATATATGTCTAGGTGTGATTTTTTTTTTTTCTATCCTGATGCAAGATTATGTTGAGCTTCTAGAATCTGTGGACTTTTATTTTAATGGCTCTCAAAACTTCTTAGTTTTATCTCCAAATGCTGCTGCTGCTCCATTTTTCCCCTCTCTTTCTTGGACGTGCCAATGTTCCCTTCATTTAAAGTTTAATCTGTGTTTTCCTGAATGCAGCATAGAAAACTAAAAAGGTGATAGTCTTTTTTAACTTCCCTTCTAGTTAAATTTAATTTTCTCTTCTCTTTCTAATCTACTGTTAAGCATGTGATTTAAGATATTAATTTCAGTTACTGTAACTTTTTTGTTCTAAAGTTTTTATTCTTTTTCAGATATGTTTTGTCTCCTTTCAGTTTTAGTTCTTTATTGTTGGAAGTATTACAGGTGTTCCCCCTTTTCCCCTCCACCCCTATTCCATACCTTTACCACACTATTGCCTGTGTTCATGGGTCATGCATATAAGTTATATGGAAAATTCCTCCCTCCTCCTCCCCATCCCCTCACTATCCCTCTGAGATTCGTCAGTCTGTTTCATGCTTCTATGTGTCTGGGTCTGTTTTGTTCATCAGTTTATTCTTTTCATTAGATTCCACATATGAGTGAGATCATGTGATACTTATCTTTCTCTAACTGACTTATTTCACTTAGCATAGTGCTCTCCAGGTCTCTCCATGCTATCTCAAAGGGTAAAAGATTTTTTTTTTTTTAATATATTTTATTGATTTTTTTACAGAGAGAAGAGAGAGGGATAGAGAGTTAGAAACATCGATGAGAGAATCATCGATCAGCTGCCTCTTGCACACCCCCTACTGGGGACGTGCCCGCAACCAAGGTACATGCCCTTGACCGGAATCGAACCAGGGACCTTTCAGTCCGCAGGCTGATGCTCTCCAGGCGTCCTCAAACTTTTTAAAGTGGGGGCCAGATCACGGTCCCTCAGAGAGCTGGAGGGCTGGACTATATGAACTACTAATTCCTACTGTAACACCTCGGCTGCGCTCACTGCCCAAAAAACCTGGCGGGCTGGATCAGACTCCTCTGCGGGCCGCAGTTTGAAGACCCCTGCCTGAGCCAAACCGGTTTCGGCTACCACAGCTTTTATCTACTCGTCTGCTGATGGGCACTTGGGCTGTTTCCAAGTAGCTATTGTAAATTGAGCTGCTATGAGCATAGAGGTGCATATGTTCTATGATTGGTGTTTTGGGAATTTTATGATATATTCCTAGAAGTTGGACCATTGGGTCAAATGGCAGTTCTGTTTTTAATTATTTGAGGAAACTCCATACTGTGTTTGTTTTTGAATATGCTTTTAGAGAGAAAGGAAAGGAGAGGGATAGAGAGAAAGAAACATCAATGATGAGAGAGAAATATCATTGATCAGCTGCCTCCTGCATGCCCACCACAGGGGATTGAGCCCGCAACCCGGACATGTGCCCTGACTGGGAATCCAGTCATTGGCCTCTTGGTCCCTGTGCTGATGCTCAACCACTGAGCTACACCCAGCCGGGCCATACTGTTTCCCACAGTGGCTGCACCAGTGCATTCCGCCAGTATTGTATTAGGTTCCATTTTCTCCACATCCTCGCTAGCACTTGTCATTTGCTGATTTGTTGATGGTAGCTGGCTTTGCTCTTTAACACTCATTCTCACACTTTTTTCTTTGGATTTGGCAAATGCCTTCAGGGAAAAAGTGTGTTCTTCCTGATTTTTTGTCCTGGTAATTCCTCATTATCTTGTTAGTTCTTCAATGCTTTTAAGAAAAAGAAAAGACCCTAGCTCGTTTGGCTCAGTGGATAAAGCGTTTGACCTGTCGGCTAAAGAGTCCAGGTTCAATTTCGATTCAAGTCAGGGCACATGCCCAGGTTTTGGGCTCAATCGTGCAGGAGGCAGCCAATCAATGATCATTGATTTTTCTATATCTTTTCCTCTTCCTTCCTCCCTGAAATAGATTTTTTTTTAAAGAAAGAAAAGTATTTTATTTGGCTTTCTTAAAGGCAGATTGCCTATTTGACTATTCAAAAAAAAAAAAAAAAGACTACTAATGTATTGGAATTCAGCTTTACCTAGACATATTATGTAAAACAACTTGTAACAGATAGTTGAGTAATTTGTAGAAAAAGGTTTAAGATAATATATGATTGTATGCTTAGATAAGTTCCATTTTGTTCAGCATACTTTTATATAACAACTACCAGTTATCTATACATTTCTGTGTCACGCACTTGAACTAAATACTTTCTACATGTTGTCTAACTTAATTGAACTGCTGAGGTGTAGATATTATTACTCTTTTACAAATGAAGATATCAAGGCTCAAAGATGTTAATGAATTTGCCCATATCATACAGTTTAATAAACGGTTAAGCTGGTAGTCACTCAGGCCATCTGACTCTGAACTCTAAACCTCTATACTTTATTCTTTATAGTGCTACAAGAGCATATAACAAGAGAACCTGATCTAGTCATGGAATCAGGGGAGATTTCCCTGAAGAAGGAGATTTGAGCTGACATCAGAAGGTCAAGTATGAGTTAACCAAGTGAAGAAGAGATTGAATTCCTAGGCCTTGAACATGGAGGGAAATGGCATTTTGAAGATTTGAGAGAGGTCCAGAGTGGCTGCTAGGAAGACTGTTAGAATATGTGGCTTCATGCTTTTTGAAAGATTCTCTTACATTGATGTCTACTAAAGTTATGTCTGGTTTAAAAGGTGTATTCTTCCCACTTTCAAACTTTGGCTGATTACTAATGGTGATGCAGTAGGAAGAACACAGCCCTACCTCTAAATTATTCTTGCCATAAAATATTGAACTGGAATTTAATAAAGCCTTTAGATATAACCAGTTTACAAGAAATATAGGAGATGGAGAAATATATTAAATAATGCAATATGCTAAATCTGAAATGCAGGTAACTCTGAAGACAAATGGCCTTTTTCTTTAACAAATGCCATATTAAAAAGGAGACTGGGACTTAAACATTAAAAGAAACTTAAAAGTGCTATATATGGACCTTATTTGAAAAAAAATCACAAGATATTTGGGGGAAAATTGAACATGGACTAGATATTAGGTAATAGTAAAGAATTATATTTTTATTGGGTGTGATAATGAGTCTATATTTGTTAGACATGTTTACTGAAATATAAGTAGATAAGGAAGAAATGTAATAAGAAAAAAAGAATTTTATTGAAGCAGGATTGATAAACACATGAGTTCAGTATAGTCTTTCTCTACTTTTGTGTATCTTTTGAAAAATTTCTCAAATGAAAAGTTAAAAAGCTAGTAACTGAATTTGGCTGGCATTTTTTAAAAGGATCTTTATTTAAAACTAGAGGCCTGGTGCACAAAATTCGTTCATGGGGGAGGGAGGAGCAGTGTCCCTCAGCCCATCTTGCACCCTCTCCAATCTGGGAATGTCCGACCACTGGGATCGAGCCTAAACAGGCAGTTGGACATCCCTCTCACAATCCAGGACTGGTGGCTCCCAATCACTCACTTGCCTGCCAGCCTGATCACCCCTAACCTCTCCCCTGCCAGCTTGATCAATGCCTAACTGCTCCCCTGCCAGCCCGATTGCTCTTAACTGCTCTCCCCTGCTGGCGTAGTCACCCATAACTGCCCTCCTTTGCTAGCCTGGTCACACCTAACTGCTCTCCCCTACAGGCCTGGTCGCCCCCAACTGTCCTCCCCTGAAGGCCTGGTCTCTCCAATTGTCCTCCCCTGCTGCCTTGGTCACCCCTAACTTTCCTTCCTTGCCAGCCTGGTCGCCCCGAACTGCCTTCCCCTTCAGGCCTTATCACCCCTAACTGCCCTCCTCTGTAGGCCTGGTCCCTCCCAACTGCCCTCCCCTGCTGGCCTGATTGCCCACAACTGCCCTCCCCTGCTGGCCATCTTGTGTCTATATGGGGTGGTTATCTTTGACCACATAGGGGCAGCCATCTTGTATGTTGGAGTGATGGCCAATTTGCATATTACCTCTTTATTATATAGGATAAAGGCAGGAATATTGATTGTAGTATCTGAATGACTTATGGAAAGAGACCAGAGTTTAAAGGGAGAAAGGACTCTGATGTGAAACCACAAAAGTGGCAGCATTTGAAAATAAGTATTAGTGTGTTACTAAGTTTAGCTAAAATAAATTATTAGTGACCAGTAAGTTGTTTAGTTGGATTTCACTATCTGAAGCAGAAGGGTGGTTTGGATGAAACATTGACCTGGGAGGAAGGAGGCCTACCTCTAATCAGTCCTGGAAGATTATTGCACCTCTCTGGGCCTCAGATGTCTCTGGTACCTGATATATTGGTACAGCTCTCCCTACACTCTCTTCTGCCAGCTGTGAACAGCTAGAGATTTAGGATTAAACAATTTTCAAGGTCCTCTCGAGTTCTAAATTCCATGATGCTAATGAATATGTGGGATTGTGCCTCTGGAGGGGAAGAATTATACCTACATATCAAACCAAAAAAAGTTTTTTCTATAGAATGGCACAGACTTAGATAATGAGAGCAAGTGACAGTAGGTTAGACTGAATATAAACTTCTGTTTGTGCCTGTCAAACAGAATCCTTTGTCGCTAACCTCTGATCTATTTAGAAATAAAGTCCACTTAAGAAAGTGGCACTCGCCGAAACCGGTTTGGCTCAGTGGATAGAGCATCAGCCTGCGGACTGAAGGGTCCTGGGTTCGATTCTGGTCAAGGGCATGTACATAGGTTGCGGGCACATCCCTGGTGTGGGATGTGCAGGAGGGAGCTGGTCGATGTCTCTCTCTCATCGATGTTTCTAGCCTCTGTCTCTCTCCTCTCCCTTCCTTTCTGTAAAAAATCAATAAAATATATTTTAAAAAAGTGATTTAAAAAAAAAAAGAAAGTGGCACTCCATTCACTCTTGGAGTCAGTCCAGTGAATATATTATTATAGACTGGCCCATAACTTTTGGGTCAGGCACAATTCTTTTAGTTTTTTGAAAAGCAGCTTCCAAAAGATAACAATTTATTAGCATCATGTACTTTTCACAGTTAAAACAAAAATATTTTTCTTTATGTTATGTGTGTAAAACCCCATATTGTTTTATATCTAGAGGAAAACATTATAAGATAAGGTATATTCTAATCATTCTTTAAATTAGCTTTCTAAGAAGTAACAAAAGTTTTGACACAGGAATGGCTTAAATTGTCAAGAGTAGTGGTTCTTTTAAGTATAATTTCTTTTAACACCTCTTGTACTTTTTTCTGTTTTAATTTAGGCAACTCAAAAATTTTCACTGCCAGTCTACTTCTTTGGTTCTGCAAAGGAACAGTATACCTCCAGCAGCCCCCAAAGCCCAGCAGTCCAGTGAATCATCAAACAGACTCATGACTGAAAAACAGGTAAATGTGAAATATTTGAAACCAGTGTTTTTCAAAGTATGTGGTGGCAAATAATAATTCATCTCCAAATGTGAAAAATCTTAAAAGCATTCTTAGTTTAAAAGGATTCAGGTGTACAGCATAGGGAGTATAGTCAATAATATTGTAACAACTGTGTATGGTGCCAAGTGAGTACTGGAAATACTGGGGGAACACTTTGTAAAGTATATGATTATCTAACCACTATGCTCTACACCTGAAACTGATACAAATAATATTAAATATAAACTGTAATTGAAAAATAAAATTTAAAAAATTCTTTTATTTAGTAAAACTAGAGGCCTCGTGCACGAAATACATAAGCTGGGGTGGCATCTCTCAGCCCGGCCTATGCCCTCCCACAGTCCGGGAGTCCTTGGGGGATGTTCGACTGACAGTGGGCCTAAGCTGTCAGTAGGATATCCCCAGCACTAGGAGAGGCTCCTACCACTGCTGCTGCACTCGCCAGCCGTGAACCCAGCTTCTGACTGAGTGGCACTCCCCCTGTGGGAGCATACTGACCACCAGGAGGCAGCTTTTGCATTGAGCATTTGCCCCCTGATGGGTCATTGTGTGTTGTTCTGCTGTTTCGTTGATTTGCACACTAGCCTTTTATTATCCTATATAATAAAGAGGTAATATGTAAATTGACCATCACTCCAACACACAAGATGGCCACCACAATGATAGCCAGGAGGGGAGGGCAGTTGTGGGTGATCAGGCCAGCAGGGGAGGGCAGTTGGGGGGACCAGGCCTGCAGGGGAGAGCAGTTAGGAGTGATAGGCCTGCAGGGGAGGGCAGTTGGGGTGATCAGGCTGGCAAGGGAAGGCAGTTAGGGATGACTGCGCCAGCAGGGGAGAGCAGTTAGGGGCAATCGGGCTGGCAGGGGAGCAGTTAGGCATTGATCAGGCTGGCAGCGGAGTTGGTAGGGGCGATCAGGCTGGTAGGCAGAAGTAGTTAGGGGCAGGCAGGCAGGCAAGTGAGTGGTTGGGGACCAGCAGTACTGGATTATGAGAGGGGTGTGTGACTGCCTGTTTAGGCCCAATCCCACCAGGCAATCAGACATTCCTCGAGGGGTCCCAGATTGAGAGGGTGTAAGTTGGGCTGAGGGACATCCCCTCCCCATGCATGAATTTCATGCATCAGGCCTCTAGTATAGTATAATTTTGGGAAATGCCAGGTTAAAGACTATTAAATGATTTCATTACTCTAAGATACCAGTTTCTAAAAGGAGGCTCAAGTATAAAGCACATAATTTGGAAAAAGCCATTCTTAGCTCTTTTCAGAATTTGCAAACAGTTGATGTTAGTCTTTCTCTTAAAAGGTATTAGAGACCCTGGCCAGTGTAACTCAGTTGGTTGGAGTATTGTCCTATACACCAAAGATTGCAGTGGGGTGCATGTGGGAGGCAACCGATCGATGTTTCTCTCCCTTCTTCTCTCTCTTAAAAAAAAAATCAATTGAAAAGATAAAGAACAACATGTATAACTTGATCATTCAAAATTCATGACAGTATTATTTACAAAGCATTTTGTCATTATAAGTCATACTAGGTAGACCTCCACTGAGATATCCACATAGCTTTTGGCTCCTAAAACAGATATCAGTAATAATTTTTTTAATTTACTGATTTGAGCGGGGGGTAGGACAGAAACATCAGTTGTTGTTCCACTTATTTATGCATTTATTGGTTGCTTTTTATAAAATTGTAATGATTTCAGAGAGGAAAGGAAAGAGAGATAGAAACATCAATGATGAAAGGGAATCATTGATTGGCTGCCTCCTGCAAGCCCCCAACTTGGGATAGAGCCCTTAATCCAGGCATGTGACCTTGGCTGGAATCAAACCCGACATCCTTCAGTCTATAGGCTGATGCTCTATCCACTGAGCTAAACTGGCTAGAGCTATTGGTTGCTTCTTGTATATGCCCTGACCAGGGAGCTTATCAGAACAACACTCCAACCAACTGAGCTATCAGCTGGGGCTATCAGTAGTAATTCTAGCTCTGTGTCATTAATCTTTGTGACCACAAGACCTAAGCATAAGTAAGAGGAAAGGTTTGGGGAAGGAGGAGTGTAGAAAAGATAAAAAAGGGAAAGAAAGTCAGCAACCAAAAGGAAAGGTTTATTTGGCGCTGTGGGTCATAATACTGTCAAAGAGTCATCAGAGTAATTTGGTCCTTTTTTATCCTGATAGAATCTTTAATGTCGAGGAGCATTTGGATGTGGAGAGTAATGCTTTTATTCGTGTTTTGTCTGTCTAAATTATTAATCTTTAAGCTATTACAGTATTTATATTCTATACCAGTAATAAAATGAATTTATTGTATAAATTATATTTTCTCAAGCATTTAAACATTGAAAAGTCACTCAAATTGGCTTTGATTATTGTACTTAACATTAAAAGCCGATTATAAAACTTATCAATATCAGGAATTTAAATGTGTCATTTAAAAAATTATCTCCAACTGATGAATAAGAACAGACCCAGAGATAAGGAGCCATAGGTCAGACTGTTGGACCTCAAAGGGAGAGATCAACCAAAGGACTTGTGTGCACACACATGAGCCTAACCAGTGGTCAAAGACAATAGTGGCGTGGGGACATGAGTGGGGGGGTGAGGAATTGGAATGGGGGGTGAGGACAAATATGTGATACCTTAATCAATAAAGAAATTAAAAAAATTATCTCTATTCCGTTCCATCTTTTAAAAAAAATATATTAAAATTTTTTGGAGAACAAGTTCTGTTATTCTAAAAACAAAGGAAATATACAAGAAGGTATTTTTTTATTTTATATCATAAACTTGATCCTTTTCTCTCTCCTTTGTAATTGTAGCAGGAAGAAGCAGAATGGGAGAGCATAAATGTGCTGTTGATGACGCATGGCTTAAAACCTTTAGTTCTAGTCAAAAGAACAGATCTTAAAGGTAACTAGATCCTATTCTTTTTCCTGATGGTAAAAAGCTGTTTTTTTCCTTTAAAAATTTTTTTATCTTAAAAATTTTTTACCATAACCTTTATTTTTACTAATTGTATTCTTTTTTTTAATTTTAATGTAGATCTCATCGTTTTTGACAAACGGTCATCACAAAGGATGAGACAAAACTTGAAAACGTTGGTGGAAGAAACAGAACGTCAACAGAACGTGATCCAGGAGCTCATAGACACTAATCAGCAGCTTAAGTAAGAAAATGGGGGAGAGAAGGCTCTCTTGGATTTTTTGCATCTAGGTAGATTCAAATACAAATATATATATTTTAAATATACTTTTATTGATATCAGAGAGGAAGGGAGAGAGATAGAAATATCAATGATGAGAGAGAATCCTGATTGGCTGCCTCCTGCATGTCCCCCACAGGGGATTGAGCCTGCAGCCAGGCATGTGCCCTTCACTGGAATTGAACCTGGGACCCTTTAGTCCGCGGGCTGATGTTCTGTCCACTGAGCCAAACCAGATAGGGCGCAGATATAAATATTTTTAATAGGTAAGCTTTTGGTAATAGCTTAGCAAAGAAATTTTAGAAATTATTTGTTAGATGAATAGATTTCTTGCTGTGATTTGTATTTATTACTAAGGAAGGACTTGTGTGTCTATCATTAGAAAAGAACTTGAACTAGAAAAATGCCGAGCAGTAAATCAGGAACAACGAGCTAATGACTTGGAACAAATAGTGGAGAGTGTGAAATCCAAAATTGGTGAATTGGAGGATGATTCCATAAATAGAGTTTGCCAGCAGCAGAATCAAATAAAAGATCTTCAGAAAGAGCATAAAGCTTTACAGGTACTGAATTATATATTTTTTTACATGAGTATAAAACAGCTCATCAAGGTTACAGGTGACTTTCATGTTGCTTAATTCAATGGTCTTTACCTTACCTGGCCTATTACTGTTTCTTCTTGATATTCTCCCCTTCATTTCTAGAATATTTCCTCATTTGGTTTCCCTCTATCCCCACTGCTGATTCTTCTCATCTCCCTAACCTCTCAGTGTTGGGATTCCCTAGTAGTAATTCCTTAGTCCTTTTTTCTTTCCTATATACTTTAACTCCCTTGGTGATGCTCAGTCTTTCTTAGCACCTGGTTTAAATCTGTAGCCCAAACCTCTTCCCTTACTTCCTGACTCATTTCCCACTACCCACTTGACATCACTCCTGGAGGTCTAATAGGCATCTAGAACTATACCTGTCTACAACTGAGTTCCTGTATTTCCCCTCCAAAACTTTCTTCTGTTAGTCTCCATTCCGGTCCAAGTCACCTTCATTTATCCTCTACTTCTCTCTTGGCTTTGCTGCTTCTCACTTTGCCTTTTTTCTTTTTCTTTCCTTTTTTGTTAATTCTCACCTGAGGATACTTTTCCATTGACTTTTAGAGAGAATGTAAGGGAGAGGGAGAGACAGAAGGAGAGAAACAACTGATGTGAGAGAGACACATTATTGGTTGCCTCCCGCACATGCCTTACCCAGAGCCAGGGATTGAGCCTTTAACCGAAGTGCATGCCCTTGACTGGAATCGAACCTGAGACCCTTCAGGTAGGGCCGATGCTCTACCTACTGAGCTAACCAGTTAGGGTCACCCTTATTATTTTTGTTTTTTTTAAACATATTTTTATTGATTTCAGAGAGAAAGGGAGAAAGAGAGAGAGAACCATCAATGATGAGAGAGAATCATAGATCACTGCCTCCTGCACGCCCCACAGTGGATGGAGCCTACAACCGGGGCATATGCCCTGACCGTGAATCAAACCTATGACCTCCTGTTCATAGGTCGATACTGTCAACCACTGAGCCTTGCCTTTTTAATGTGCTCTCAGCATAGTAGCTCAATACTCTCCAATGGCTTTCCTTTTTTCTTTAGTGTTATGGAGATTCTTTGGATTCCTTTACTATTATGAAACCTTGGATGCAAGCAGTTATAAGCTATAATTCCCCTATTTTATACCTATTTTACTTGTTACATGTTTACATTTATGGAGCTAGAACCTATTTAAAAACAGCCTCAGTACTGAAGTTCTTGAATGAAGCAGCTTGATAGAAACTGTGAAGATGGCTTTGTGTCTAATATTGTTAGAACTGCATGTCCTAGATGTACATATTATAATTTTTTTTAAATTTCTTCTAGGCAAAATGTCAGCATTATAAGAGAAAACAAATGGAGCAACAAGAGACTATTGATTTTTTGCAAAAGGATATCTGTAGATTAACAAAGGAGGAGGAAGAGCGCATTGTCACTCAAAACCGAGTGTTTTCTTATCTCTGCAAAAGAGTTCCTCATACCATCCTGGATAGACAGTAATGTTTACTTTATAAATTGATATGTGGATGGATTCATCATTTTTTTAAACTGATCTTATTTTGGGAGTGGTTATATGTATCTCATAAATTGGGTTCTGCTTTCTTTATAGTAGGATAAAAATTCCCAGGATTTCTAAGCAAAGAAATTAAGCCCAGAGACAGAAAGACAAGTTAGCAATGAGCTGTAATAGTGTAGGTGGGAGATAATGAAGGCCTGTGTTAGGGCTAAAAGAGAGATATTGCAGAGATGGACAGAAATTGTCCAGGCTGACTGGCTATAGTTGTTGAGAGGAGGAGAGGAGTCAAAGATTATTAGATTTCAAGTTAGATTTGGGGAATGGCAAGGAAAGAGGATGAATTCATTTTTGGACAAGTGCCTAAGCACCTTATGCCAGCTATGTAGAAGTATCAGGGCTGCAGTTAGAAGGACCAAACTCCAGAGAACTTCCAAGTTTCAGATAGACAAAAAAGACGCAGAAGAGAAGTTATGTTTGGGTGTCAGGATAACCAAGGAGCAGAGTGTTTCAAGGAGAGGGTGGTATGAAGTGTTACATGCTGCCTCATCAGTTTATGTGTTTACCTTCCTGTCTTATTTGCTCAGAACTCCCATTTGACACATAATAACTCCTCACTAAAAGTTTATTGAAGATAGCAGGTAACAATCATCCAGAATGAGTGGAGTATGCTAAGGAGGAAAAGATAAAAATGTAATGGTAGCTTAAGGTGGAAGTGTGGGATGAGAGGGCTTGTGAAGTATAGAAAGGATAAACTAGTATGTGTTGGGATGGGGAAAGGTTGAAAAGAAAGACTAATCCATAAAGTTATATTAAAAGCACAATTGGTTGAATTAGATCTAAAGGCAGGAGATGGGTAAGTTTCTTAAGATAGGAAAGACATAGTATGAATTCTTACTTTAAAAAGAATAACGTGAAAGTATAGTGTTTTTTTATTTCTTTTTAAGGATTTTTTTTAAATTAAAAAAGCAGTACATGCTTATAAAAATTCAAATAATATAGAAGTGTTTAAAATGTTATAGACCTGCCTGTCCCTCCTAATTCCCACACCTTAGAGATAACCACTTTAATCGTTTGCCCTTCCTAGTGTTTCACAACAAGAGTGCTCTTGGTATTTTGGGTAGGACTGTCATGCTCATTGATGAAATTTTTAAAAAATATATTTTATTGATTTTTTACAGAGAAGAAGGGAGAGGGATAGTTAGAAACATTGATGAGAGAGACACTGATTCAGCTGCCTCCTACACACCTTCTACTGGGGATGTGCCCGCAACCATGGTATATGCCCTTGACCAGAATCGAACCCGGGACCCTTCAGTGCGCGGGCCGACATTCTATTCACTGAGCCGAACCGGTTAGGGCTCATTGATGAAATTTTAATATCTTGCCTTCTCCCCAACCAGTCAGTCTGCAGCCAACTCTCCCCTAGATTATAGTATTATCCCCCAGTTAACCTATAGAGTTCTTTTTCAATACACATACAAAATCTCATACAATTATTTCTTTAAAAAATACTAGTGATATACATTTGGCTATGCAACATTAATTTTTCACTTACTCCTTAACAGGACATACAAATATACATTTTCTTTCTAATGCTTTTATCATTTTCTATAGTATGGATGTGCCATTATTAACTTTTTCCTTGTTGAAGAATAAATTGTTTCTGTGTTTTCACCTTTCTAAATAATGGTGCAATGAGCAACTTTGCTCATCTTGATTACAACCCTGGGGCATATATTTCTGTGAGAACGATTGCTACAGGTAGAACTGTTGGGACATTGAGAATATACATTTAATATGCTGAAATATGTTTATGGTTATTTTTAAAACTATACTTTGAAAGTAATATAATATATGATTTAGTATAATACTGGTAAAATTACTTAAATTTTTTATACACTTGCTAGATTATCTGTACACTTATCACTGTAATTTGAAATTATATAGAAAGAATAGTAAATGCTACAATATCACATTTTGAAATAATTTATTTCCTGTTTTCTAGGTTGCTTTGCCTAATTGACTACTATGAATCTAAAATTAGAAAACTTCATAAACAAAGGTACAACTAATCCTGTAGTGCAATTTTTAAAGATATTACCCAGTTGAGTCATACCAAAAGTAGTCAGCATTTTGAAACCTAAAATATGCTCTGGAAATTTATCTAATATGTAACTATGAATTTTTAAAATATTTTTTTAATTTAATATTCAGATTATTACAATTGTTCCTCTTTTTTCCCCCATAGTTCCCCTCCACCCGTCCCCATTCCACCCTATGCCCCTATCTCCCCCCCCCCCCACTGTCCTCATCCATAGGTGTACGATTTTTGTCCAGTCAGTATATGCTTAATTTTTAATTGGTCCTTTTTCATATCTTTGAGGGTCTCACTAAATTTATCGGCCTTTTCTAGAAAATTGTTGAAAAACCTTATAACCATGGTTTTGAAGTCTACATCCAGTCGTTTGCTTTCCTTCATTTCTTTCATTTGTGATCTGTTTCTTTGTCTCTGCATTTTGGCCTTTTCCCTGGGTTGACAGAGTGGTTTTGTATGCTAGGTGTCCTATATGGTCCAGTGGCTCAGCCTCCCCAGTTACCTGAGGTGGACACTCTTGGTGCATCTCTTTGTGGGCTGTGTGCAGTCTTGTTGTAGTTAAGCCTTGATTGTTGTTGGTATCACTGGGAGGAATTGACCTCCAGTTCAATTGGCTGTGAGGATCAGCAGTGTCTATTCTGGGAGAACTTCTGTGCTGGAGGCACCCTTATGAAACAAGACTTGCAAAAGCCTCTGTGCTCAGCTTGGATGGTACAGAGTCTCGGTGCGGAATAGACAGCATTGGTTTCCCGTCATCCCGCCCTAATTGGCCCCTTTGTCTCAGTGTCTGGTAATCGCTGCAAGCACCTTTAGGTTAATGGTTTTCAGTTAACCTAAAATAGCTGAATAATCTAAAGCCAAATAACCTAAAGTGCTTTCATATACAGTCATTAAAACAGTAGCTAGTCTATTTCATTGTTTATAGATGAAACAGTTCTTTTAACAGAATGTTAACAGTTCTTTTAACATTCTTTGTGCCATGGTCTAGTTTAGGGACAAAGGATAACATGATAAACTAATCAGATAAATCTCCACTTTGATTAAGCATACATTCTAGTATTCTTAAGAAAAATAACTTTCCAGAAACTCAGCAGGACCAGTGACAGAGCTGTGTTGGTTGCTGATTCCTTCTAGCCCCTTGAGACTCTTTTAAAAAGAGAGCAGATGGAAGGAAGAAGGCGGGGTGTGTGTGTGTGTGTGTGAAAGAGGGAGGAAGGGAAAACAAGAACAGCTAATGGTAGAGTAAATCCTTGCTTCATTCTATTCAGAAAGCAGTATTATAAGTAACTTTAGGGACCTTCTCATTTTCAAATGAAACTTACGTTTTAGATTGTAGGCGTGATGTTAGATTCTGCAGAGATAGGACAGAATTTTAGGTAGGATTTTGCAATCTGCTAAGGGAGATAAAATGTCCACTTATACTCTACATTTTTTCATATAGTTTTTTTGTGACATAAAAGTACTAAAAGGAAAAAAACAGTATGCTTTGTTTACTCATTCAACAAGTGCTTTTTCATTTACTCTTAGACTCCATACTCTTCTAGAAAATGAGATATCATGGTGAACAAGACAAAGTTCTGGTTTCCGTTGATCTTATATTTTAATTAAGGTGATAGCAGATATACCGTATTTTCCGGCCCAACTAGACAATTCCAACCCCTTGTGGACAAGAGAGAATATCCTTATGTTCATAATGTTACCTCTGACATTTGAAAAATACCGTATTTTCCGGCATATAAGACGACCCCCTAATTTTACAGTTAAAACATAGGTTTAGGCCTATATTCGCTATATAAGACTACCCCCCACTTCAAAGAAAAGACTTACTTTGCCGTCAAGATCTGCAGGTAATTTTTGTGCAATTTTGGTCTTTTACCCCCGATTTTCGGTTGACTTTTTTTCGTTTCAAAGGTCGTCTTATATGCCGGAAAATATGGGTATATACTCTGCTCTTAGGTAGTAGTACTTAATACCTAATACTATTCTCTATGAGGACAAGTAAAAAATTTGGCTTAAATTTTAATTCATATTTGGGTTATTAAATAAATCATTTCTTTGAAGATATTTTTTCCATAAGTGTACTGCATCTATTTTTTATAGGCGATATAATGAAGATGAAAGTCAGTCAGAAGACGATGACGACTGCAGCAGTCTTGATGCCTCACCAACTTATAAAGGCCTTCTACTGGTACAGGGACTACATGACTCATAACTACTTTTTTATAAACTAAAATAATCATGGAGGAAAGTTAACTTTTTTATTTGAAATGTGTTGCAGTCATTACAGAATCAACTGAAGGAATCAAAATTTAAGATTGATACACTTTTAAGTGAAAAGCTGAATCTCCAAAAAGATTTGGAAACCAGGTGAGAGAAACTTAAGTAATTTTTATGTAATTTTTGAAAAGTAAGCACATACTGGAATTTAAAATGTTAAATGAGTTCGTTCTAGCCCTTTTACTCTAAAACTAATCTTGAGGAAATTCATACTGTCATATTCATTTTAGTCAGTTGTCTGTCATATAATGGAAGGAACAAGAACACATAGGTAGGCAAGGGAAGTGAGAAAATAGGAGTCTACATTGAAAAGATAAAACTGGGTAGGAACTCAGAGTTGATTCAGTAGTAGATTTTTATACTAGTAGATTTACCGTTCCTAGATTCCTTTAGGACATAGTATTTCATCATATCCTAATGTTGTGGGAGAAGAAGAAAATGGAAAGTTTAAATGGAGCCCTAATCAGTTTGGTTCAGTGGATAGAGCATCACTGCGGACTGAAGTGTCCTGGGTTCGATTCCAGTCAAGGGCATGTAGCCTGGTTGTGGCCACATCCCCAGTAGAGGGTGTGTGGGAGGCAGCAGGTCGATGTTTCTCTCTAATCGGTGTTTCTTACCTCTATCCCTCTCTCTTACTCTCCGTAAAAAAAAAAAAAAAAAAAAAAAAAAAAATCAATAAAATATGTTTTTTTAAAAATTTTAAATGGAATATAACAGAAAGGTATATTTATATACAGCATACTACAACAAAAGAATGAGACTCTACATGTGTACAGTGATTAATAAGGAATGAGACATTTGCCAAAACCTGTTTGGCTCAGTGGATAGAACATCAACCTGCAGATTGAAAGGTCCTGGGTTTGATTCCGGTCAAGGGCATGTATCTTGGTTGTGGGCATCTCCAGTACGGGATATGCAAGAGGCAGCTGATCGATGATACTCTCTCATCGATGTTTCTAACTTTCTATCCCTCTGTAAAAAATTAATTAAAAAAAAATATTTTTTTTTAATTTAAAAAAAGTAATGAGACATTTAATTCAACAAATATTTATTGAACATTTATTATAAGTTAGACACTTTCCTAAGCTCTAGTATAGTATAATGACCAAAACTAATACCTATTCTCATAAAGCTTATATTTTAATGGAGAGGGCATTGATACCTATAGTATAAACCTCTTATGTAAATTTTAACAACCTGCCACATAGTAATATGGAAAATTGTATAAATAGTAAAAATTTAAAACATGCATGGGAATTATGAACAGTGAATTCGGGATAGTGGTTATTTATGTTATGCAAAAGATAGGAATGACATTACTAAGGGACACATATGGAGTATAAAGTATATGTATAATGTTTTAGTTATTTGAACCAAATCTGTTAATATTCAACTTTAATATAGTAAAACTATTTGTAAAATAGTATTTGTTTTACTAAATATTTCACATATAAACAATAGATTTACAATGATAAAAATGAGTAAAAGTTTTTTTATTAAAAAATATATTTTATTGACTTTTTTATTTTTACAAAGAGGAAGGGAAGAGAGAGAGTTAGAAACATCGATGAGAGAGAAACTGATTCAGCTGCCTCCTGCACACCTCCTACTGAGAATGTGCCCACAACTAAGGTACATGCCATTAACTGGAATCGAACCTGGGACCTTTCAGTTTGTAGGCCGACACTATATCCACTGAGCCATACCAGTTAGGGCTGGGTAAAAAGTTTTGAATAGGAAATATAGAGAAGAAATCCAATGGTCAATCAACCCTCACTAGCAGTCGTGAGATATTTTAAGAATTTTAATAAGCATATTTGTGACAAGTAACAAAGTATATACTATTGTTTATTATTAAATATCCTTACATGTTTATTTAATACATTAAATATATTCAATATGATTTATTTTCTACAGGCCCACACAGCATGAATTAACAATTTATAAACAACAGGTGAAGAAACTGGAGAAAGCCCTAAAGAAAAGCATCAAGTAATTATATTTTATGGAAGTTACAAATTTATTAGGCTTTTGTATTTTATTACCTCTCATCTTCCCTCATATTGAGGTTGGCTTAAAATTACCAGGCTGATGGAGGGAAATGACATTAAAAAGGGTTATTTCTGGTTCCACAGTTTAAAAAACAATTTCTACTGTCCTAGATTTGGCTATATATTCATCTTAAATAAGAACAAGAAAACAGAATTTGCCTAATTTAATAAAGGGCAAGATTTTAACTAGAAATTGTCTTTGGAAATCATGGAGGGATTTTAAGAGAATCATTGAAATTAGAAATGACAAGTCCCAAATCATGGTGGTGGCCATGACCTGAAGAATATATAGCCTCATTATACTTTAAAAGTACCAGAATGAATGCAGTGATCCATTCGTATTCACAGTTGTATCTTCTTTAACTTTGGAAAACACATACATATTCAGAGGAGTTTCAAAAATTTTTTCCTCCAATAGTGGTAGTATTTTCTTTTCTTTTTTAATATATTTTTATTGATTTTGTACAGAGAGGAAGGGAGAGGGATAGAGAGTTAGAAACATCGATGAGAGAGAGTCATCGACCAGCTGCCTCTTTCACAACCCCCACTGGGGATATGCCCGCAACCAAGGTACATGCCCTTGACCGGAATCGAACCCGGGACCCTTCATTCCCCAAGCCGACGCTCTATCCATTGAGCCAAACCGGTCTCGGCAGTGGTAGTATTTTCTGAAGATTATGTGTACTCTGACTCAAGGGAATGGGACTTAAGGGATTATTGGGATGAAATATTTTGAAAACTATATGAATTAATTTATGTATTAGATGTATTAAATCAATTGTATTAGCATAACTTGATTCAGTTTTTAGTGACAGCTTTATTTCCTTCTTCCTGTGGCAATACTTTTTCCATTTAGTATTCTGGATATACAAGAATTATATATTGAATTAGATAAAATGGTACAGAAGGAAAAACTAAAGAGAGAAGTGAAGGTTTGGAAAAGCTGCATTCATTCATTCAATTACTATTTTTTCTCTTCCTACAATAGTAAATTGCTTGATATTTTGGGTACCTATGATACCTCCTTCTATCTGCTTGGCATTCTGGGTACTGGAATTACAGTGGTAAACCAAATAGAAAAGGTTCCTGCTCTCGTGGAGATTACACAACAGGAGAAGACCAGTGAAAATGACAAGACAGTTTTGATATAAAAGTAATAAATGTAAGATAGTGTAAGAGTTGCTATTGTGTGAGTTTTGGATAGGTCAAAGGTGGCAGTAGTGATGGTGTTGAAAAGTGTTTGGAATATTAGAATGGATAGATTGTGATGGATTGAATACAGGCAGCTGGCGGGGAGAGGAAAATCAAGACTCCTACTTTTAGGCCTGAATAACTAGGTAATTGTTTGTGCATTAACCAAGTTGGGAAAATCAGCTGAGAAACAACTAGTAAAAGGAGGTAATAAGTCAGAGGAGAAAGTGTAAGCAAGGAAAAGCTTTTCATTAGCCCTTTTAGGGTCTCTGTCTGGGCCTGAAAACTAAACTGACAAGGACAGATTAACATGAGAAAAGCATACAAATTTATTGAATATAAGTTTTATATGACATAGGAGCATCCTCAAGGAAATAAAGATCTGAACATGCAGTTAAACCTGAGTGTTTTTATACCAGGTTTGATGAAGAGTGGAAGTTGTGGTAAAATGTAATAGGACAAAAGAGTATGAACTGAGGGTAGTAAACTGGGGGAAACTCAGTTGGTGTCCCTCTGTCTTCAGGGATAAAGTTTCTCTTTTCCTCCTGGCACAGGAGGGCTTTATGATCTGCCTCAGGAAAGAAGAGGAAGGTCAGGAAAACCTTCCTGCACCTGCCACTTTCAGAGAGGATGAGAGAGAAAGAGGGGGGGGAGGGGGAGATATATCAGTGATGCGAGAGAGTCATTGACTGGCTGCCTCCTGGTTGGCCTGCACCTGCCATTTTAAAATTCCTTCAGCTTAAAACATTTCTTATGTCAATGTGGTATATTTTGTAGTGCCATATCTTGATCCTCTACAAAGATATCTTACTGACTTTAAGGCAAATTTAATACCCACACACGCATGTATGTATATACACAGAGATAACAGAGTTAATCCTTATTATTTGCAGATAACATATTTGTGAACTTGCCTACCTGCTAAATTTTATTTTTAATCCCCAAATCAATATTTGCCACACTTTCATAATCACTCATGGACATGCCCAACACAGTTTCCAGCTGTTGAACAAGATGAAGTTCTGCCCTTTTCTTTCAGCCCTTATGCTGTAAAGAAGTATCCTTGTTATCACAGTGCCACTCTTTGTTTTTTCTTTTTCTTTTCTTTTTCTTTTTTTGGGCTTTTTGTTAGTGATTTCTCTGAGATGGCTCCCAGGCCTTCATGTGACAGGTATCCTTTCTGTACCAGGAGGAAAGAAGCAACTTTATCTCTGAAGACAGGGACACCAAGAAGAATCTGAGTTTCCCCAGTTTACTACCCTTAGCTCATACTCTTCTTCCGTATACACAAGAAAGCTGTGATGTGCCTTACAGAAAAAATACACGCGCTACATAAACTTTATTATGGCATGAGTTATAGTGCTGTTAGCCCTGTCTTTAAACATTCACACACAGTTGAGAAAGTATGACCAGATGCATGCAGGAACCTGACCTTATATTTCTCTTAGGAGTAATGAATTTCATCTTTGCTAATTAGTGTCTGTTGTGTAGTAAGCATATTTGTGACTTTATAGAACATAGCTACTACTAATAGGAATTGACTAAATATGTTTTGGTTTTGTGTTGTTCATTAGGCTCTAGCCTCTAGGTTGACTTTTCACTATTAGCCTTTAAAATTATTATTCAGAACCAATCCCTGCCATATTTTTTTTTGCTAAATTTGAAGAAATTATATTTTTTATTAATTTAAATTTGGAATTTTAAAAATGTATTTTTGGTATATGGGACGATGCTGCAACTCACTGAGCCACATTGCCTAGGGCTTAAAAGTCTTTTTTTTTTTTTTTTTAAGTATTTAGATGTAGAAACAGAATTTGGAATGTTAGATAACTTGCATCACATGGGTGGTACGTAGAAGAAATCAGATCTGTACCCAATCATTTTTAGTCCAAAGCACACATTCCTAACCATCACACTAATAATTAGAACCAAACAAAACACCCAATGAAAAAAAATTTTTAAGGTAAAACATTTCAAATTTTTATTTTAAGTGGCAGGGTTAAAATATTTTTCAAACAACTGATGTTGGAGAAATAATTAAGAATATGATCTGTCAATCCATGAATCCTTTCTACATATATAGAAAAAAAGAAACTGTTTCATTACTGAATAAACATTCAGCCAGATTGATATGTTCTATAGACAGTCTGCTAAAGAGATAACAAAGACAGAAAGAGATCTCGCCCTTTTGTACAGCCAGGCAGATACTATGAATTGTAATGGATAAAAGGAAAAAGAAAACTTTTCATAACCTTAGCAGCTGGTCGTTGTTTCTCATCAACATTTCTGGCTCTCTATCCCTCTTCCCTTCCTCTCTGTGGAAAATCAATAAAATTATAAATATATAAAAGAAGCAGAGCTGTTGCTGTTGTCTACATAGAATGAGTGTCTGCTATGTAGGCAAAATATCCCTTAGTCACTCTTAGGGGATTTTTATGGCCTTCAGGCCCTGCTCACTGCTTTGGAAACTACAAAACAACTCTAGCATATTTCTAGTACAGCCTATTCTGCTACAATATAGGTTTCTCAAACATTAACTTAATTGGGGGAAAGAAAAAAAAAGCTTTTCTCCTTGGCTGCTTAAAGGTCAGTCACCGTCATGACTGACACAGTAACTAGCGACCAGAAAGTTCATGACCAATAGACTGCTTGCACTAGAACAAATGGTCATTGATATCCTTCACCCTGCAAGACAGCAGTACCTAAGACAGAAATTAGGGGAAAGCTAGCCAAAATGTGTAAGACCACACCAGATGTTATCTTTGTATTTGGATTCAGAACCCACTTTGGGGATGGCAAGACAACTGGCTTTGGGATGATGTATGATTCCTTGGATTATGTAAAGAAAAATGAACTCTAACATAGGCTTGTCAGACATGGTCTATTAAAAGAGACAACTTCAAGAAAACAGCAATAGGAATGCAAGAACAGAATGAAGAAAGTCAGGAATTACAAAGGCCAGGTTGGTGCTGGCAAAAAAGTCAAGATTCTTCAGTGACTCTCTGTGGTAATTGTGCAGATTTTTCATGAGAGGATTAATAAACTAAGAACTTAAAAAAAAAAAATGGCCAAAAAAAGAGAGAACAGCATTTTTGGTGGGATAAAAAAGAATTTAATACAGATTGAGACAGAAACTCAAATAGTGTCCCAATTGCAGGGTGAAAACAAGAGGTCTTATGAGAAAAGGAAGGGAACAATTATGTGAATAGAAGTGTTGATCTAAAAAAAGCCACAGTGAGCGACCACAAGCATTTGTTTGAGATCCAAAAGAATAGCTAATCAGGAAGCACTGATTCAGGCGGAAACCCAAAGCGTCCCAATTGGGTTAATGGCAAACGGTTTTTATGAGAAAGGGAAGGAGAATAATGACATGAATAGAAGGTACGAGTTTCTATGGATATTAATAAGTAAAGGAAGGAATTTCTATAGGGGCACATAAGCTAGGTCATTCTTTAGCTAAATATGGTGGAGCTAATTCTAAAGAAGGTCTTTAATTTTCAGTCCAGAGTGTCAGCTTTCCTGTTAGTTTTTCAAATAGTTGTTTGAAATACAGTGATATTTTAGGCCTAGTCCAGTGGTCTGCAAACTGTGGCTCTCGAGCCTCATGGCTCTTTGGCCCCTTGAGTGGGGCTCTTCCACAACATACCACATACCCTAATTAAGTTAATAACAATGTGCTTACCTATATAGTTTAAGTTTAAAAAATTTGGCTCTCAAAAGAAATTTCAATCGTTATACTGTTGATATTTGGCTCTGTTGACTAATGAGTTTGCCGACCACTGGCCTAGTCTAAAGGTAGTTTTGCCCATTTTGAACATTCCAGAGGTTCAAGGAGCAAGACTGTAAAGTTAGTTAACATTTCAATTCAGATACATCAGTTTACTGGTATTCCCACTAGAGAGCATATTGGCTTTTCTGTCTCTTGTATTTTAGATAATATGCTCTTGACTGCCTTTAGGCAAAGCTGTAAAGTATGTGAATATGAAAAATAGGTGGGAAATCAACTGGAAAATGGATTATGAGGTTTTTGTGTCTACTAGAGGAAAGAGGCTGACTTTTTACCTAGAACTAATCCATTTACTTTTTATTTTTGTCATATACTCACCAGAGAGCAGAGAAAAGCAATTGAGTGAAGATCAAGGGCAATGCAAGTTACTGGAGTAGGTAATTGTAAGATAGTAGTAAGAAATGAGGTAAGAAAGAAGTCAGTAGGAATATTGGGTTAGGACTAACCACATGGAGAGATTCAAATGCTAACCCAAGGAGATTAATTTAATTTACAAAGCAGTGGTAAGCAATTGATTGTTTTTTAGCAGGTAAATGACATGATGCATATTGCTATCCTATTTTACAGGTGAGTCATGGAATCAATTTGATGAGTCAAGATTCTGTAGGAAACTGATAAGCATACTCAAAGTTAAGATAGTTAATTTAAAATGGGTATAAATAGACCTGTTTTTCAAAGGGAGGGTAGAAGGAGGAATATCTACTACAGTTTGACTTCAGAGATTTTTGGAGAAGGGCAATGGTTTGCTACTAGGTAGATACACTCATACATAGTTATGTTTCTGGGCAAAGAGACTCCCCCAGCATTCTAGTAGCATCCAGGAATAATGTTTTCTTGGGTTTCCATGCCCTCTTGACTGGCCCAAGCATCACGTTATCAGTGGAGCATGAAGAAGGGAGAACCATACTTTCTAGCTCAGCAGTTGCCTACTGGTGGTCCAAGGGGTCCAAAGGGTTGGCGACCGCTGCTCTAGTTCTTGCTGTTTCAGTGCCCAAGCCAGTTGCCCTACCCTAGGAGTGTCGAACTCAATCAGAGAAGGGGCCAAAATCTAAAATCCAGCCTAAATCGTGGGCCAAATGGTTTACTGAACAGTCATAAACTGTCATTGTGATGGAAAGGCAGCGGAGTGCAGTGATGACAGCGCGGTGCGGGCCACATTGCAAGGCCTGGCGGGACGGATTTGGCCCGCGGGCCTTGTGTTTGACACATGTGCCCTACCCATTGCTTCTTGCTTCCTTTCTCTTGTAGCTCCCAAGCTTGGATCCCTTGGAAGCTGCTTCCATTCTTTACTGTAGTTCTTTCCTATTATGTATTTTTTGCAAGTGTTGGGGAGTGGTTAGAACTTTTTTCTTCAGTCTTATCCCTTCTAATTTATGGTCTATTGAGAGGACCTTCTTATTTCCAGTGATAATATGGTTTATATTTTAAAAACGCATGTATGCATGTGTGTGAGCACATGTACACACATACATTCATAAAATAATATAAAGCTGTTGGGAGGGTAGCTGGATCATTTGACTGAGTTTGTTTTCTTCATCCAGTATGTAGGAAAGAATTTTGTATTGTCTTGACTTTCCCCCCCCTTTAGATTACAGGATTGTCTCAGTCAAAGCAAGACTGAGGACACAGAGAAAAAAGATGACCCCAGCAAAGATAACCAGCGGCAGGCCCTAATTGACCAGAGATACTTTCAGGTATGGAATAGCTGGCAAAGAGATTAGTGTTTGTAGTCAACTTTGGTTTTAATTGCAGTGTCCTAAATTATCCGTTGGTTAGGAATATTTGTATCCAATATTTGTTGTGCTTATCCTGTCATGTCTTGCCATGACATATCTGTTTGGATAAAAACATTATCGTTAGTTTGACTTAGAATCTGTCTTCACCCTTACTTTGGCCTAGTTCAAAGCAGGGTAGTAAAAAGCTGGTAAATTTTTAGAAATATTTTATTCTTTGTTCTCCCTCCTTAAGCCATTTCCCTTTTTATTGTTTTTGGTATGATTAGTATTATTACTATATAAGTAAATTTTCTTACGGTCCTTGTATGGTTCTTTTTTTTAAAATTTAGATATTTAGTTCATCTGAAATTTAATTTCTTATGTGGTGTGATACAGAAATCTTACCCTGCTGATTTGATAGCATAGGTAGATGAGCATTTATTGACTAGATGTGTAGATAAGCCTGATTATTTACTGACTTAACTGGACCTGCATTTTTATTTTATTGGACCTACACAGGGTTTTTTAAAACTGTGAATTAATTACTAATATTTCTTAAATTAAGAGGTTTTGTTTATTAAGTTCTTATTTGTAGCTTCTCTTAAAAAGTGAATCTGGCAGCCTGGCTAGTGTGGCTCATTTGGTTGGAGTATCGTCCTAGGCATTGAAGAGTCATGGGTTTGATTCCAGTCAGGGCACATATCAAGGTTGTGAGTTTGATTCTTGGTCATGGTGCATATAGAGGCAACTGAGCAATGTCTCTCTGTCTGCCTCTGTCGGTCTCTCTTTCTCCATCACTCCCTTTCTTCCCTTTCCTTTGAACTTCTGAAGCTCAGCTAGCATCAGTTCCCTGGCCTCTTTTAGGAATGCTACTGCCCTCCTTAACTTTTGGTCTGAGGCAGGAGAAGAAGGACTATGTGGATTCTAATAGGTAATAACTACTTTCAAATCTACATCATTTAAAAAGACATTTTAGTTTTTTTGTGAAATCTATGGTTCTCTTTAGAACTTATGTTTAATCATGTTGATGAAACTGTTGTACTTTCAAAACATTACAAATGTCAATCTTATTAAAGATCTTGCTCTCAATGATAATTTAGTGGAGAGAAACATTTTCCCATTAAAATTGTATTTAAAAATTTTAAATATAATAGAAGTGACATATTGAAATGCACTAAAATAAGCAATAAACAAAACTGCTTGTAAATAAGCATCAGAAGTCAAATTCTCAAGAAACCTGTAGCTTTTATGGGGAGAAAAGAAAAATAGCACAGCATTTTCCACTCTCAAATTCTGCCACTTTTTAAAAATACATTAATCTTGATAAATCCTGGCCAATGAATCACTAACATTTTCTTACATAGGCTAGTCACTATCCAGATCAGTTTGATCACCTCTCAGCAAGATCTGCATGATGTTTTTTAGGATTTCTGTTTAGAATGTGTTGGGCTTTATAATTCACTAGAGGCCCGGTGCATGAAATTCATGCACGGGGGGCGGCGTTTCCCTCAGCCCAGCCTGTACCTCTTCCAATGTGGAGCCCCTCGAGAAATGTCCAACTGCCCGTTTAGGCCCATTCCTAAACAGGCAGTTGGACATCACTCTCACAATCTAGGACTGCTGGCTCCCAACTGCTTGCCTGCCTGATTGCCCCTAACTGCTTCTGCCTGCCAGCCTGATCACCCCCTAACTACCATCCCCTACAGGCCTGATCGCCCCCAACTGTCCTCCCCTGCTGGCCCAGTCACCCCTAACTACCCTCCCTTGCCATCCTGGTTGCCCCTAACTGCCCTCCCCTGTTGGCCTCATTGCCCCCAACTGCCCTCCCCTGCATGCCTGGGTCCCCCATAACTAATTAGCTTTAATATAAGAAGAGAGGAATAAGGAAATATGGAACTCTAGTTAAGGATATTTGGATGATAATTCTTCTCTATGTGGATTATAATAGGTCATAACTACTTTCAAGTCTACATCAGTTAATATATTTTAGTTTTTGTGTGAATCTGTGGTTCTCATTAGAACTTATGTTTAATCATGTTGATGAAAACTATTGTACTTTTAAAACATGACAAGTGTCAGTCTTATTAAAGACCTTCTTAATGCCTAAAATTAACTTTGAAAATGAAGTTACATTGACATATAAAGCACTCCTTTTACTTATGTCACTTTTAAAGGACTATGGTAAACATTTCAATTAAAGACATTCTTTTTCTTTTTCTTTTTTTTTTTTTAGATACTGAGTAGCATCAACTCAATTATTCACAACCCAAGAGCTCCAGTAATACTTTATAAACAGAGCAAAGGAGGAGTCCAACATTTTAATAAAGATTTTGGTCAAGATTGTGAATTTGAGCATCTTGTTCCTATCCTAGAAATGTGGGCAGATCAACTGACTTCCCTGAAGGTAAGGGGCTAAATAGTTTTTACATGCTTAGAAAACCTATTGGAATTGTGGACGTGATTAATAGGTGAGGCTTACTTTGTTTTAACTGTAAAGCTAAAATGGCTTATCTTATTAAATGTTAATCTTGCTACTTACATATCTGTTTTAAGTACTACCTATTTGATGTTGTCATTACTATAAGCTGCCTCCTATAAGATTCTACCAAACAAGACATTTTTTAGGCTCATTGCTTTGTTAGAAATCTATAGTAGATCCACTTTGACTTCTAGGTGCTTCCCTGTTCTACTTTCATCTCCCTCTTTTTGTTATCTCCATGGTACAGATTTTCCTCGCCCTTATTTCTCTTCAAATGTAATGTTTTATCCTTCATTTCATTTTAATTGGGAATGTTTCTTTTCTTTTCATATTTAAAATTATTTTTTCTTTTAAAGCTTATCTCCATGTTGATTCTGTGGAGCAGATTTTGGTCAGATAGTTAGCCAGTACTACTATACTTATTCTTTTTATCCATGGAAGATGAAATTTTCTTCACTTTATACAGTTGTTATATATTTTTTATTAACTTCAGGTTTTTCCAGATTTTGTTGAGTAGCTCACTGAAAGGTGAATTGCTAAAGTCATAGTATTTAATTTCTGTACCCATTAAATTTTTATTTTTTAAACACATACACACACACACACACACACACACACACACACACACTAGAGGCCCAGTGCACGAGATTCGTGCATGGAGCAGATGGGGGTGGGGGGTGTCCCTCAGCCCAGCCTGCACCCTCTCCAATCTGGTACCCATAGAGAGATGTCCAACTGCCCATTTAGACCCTAAACCGGCAATCGGACATCCCTCTCACAATCCAGGACTGCTGGCTCCCTACTGCTCATCTGCCTGCCTTCCTGATTGCCCCTAACTGCTTCTGCCTGCCAGCCTGATTACCCCCTAACCACTCTCATGCCAGCCTGATTGATGTCTTAACTGCTCCCCTGCCAGCCTGTTGCCCCCAACTTCCCTCCTCTGCCGGCCTGGTCACCCCTAACTGCCCTCCCCTGCAGGGTTGATCTCCTCCAACTGCCCTCTCTTGCAGGCCTGGTGCCTCCCAGCTGTCCTCCCCTGCTGGCCATCTTGTGGTGGCCATCTTGTGTCCACATGGGGGCAGCCATCTTTGACCACATGGGGGCAGCTATTGTGTGTTGGAGTGATGGTCAATCTGCATATTACTCGTTTATTAGATAGGATAGAGGCCTGGTGCATGGGTGGGGGCCAGCTGGTTTGCCCTGAAGGGTGTAGGGTGGCTTGAGCCTGTGGTGGTTTGCAGACTAGCCATGTCCCCTGGCGACCCAAGCGGAGGCTCTGGTATTCTGAATTTATTTACCTTCTACAATTGAAACTTTGTAGCCTGGAGCAGAGCCAAGCCCCATGCTCGCTACATGGCCGGCAGCCATTTCTGTTTGGATTTGTTTACCTTCTATAATTGAAACTCTGTGGCCTTGTGTGGAAGCTTAGGCTGGCAAGGGCAGGTGGAAAGCTTGGCTTCCTACGTTGCCTGGGAAATCCAAGCCTCCCTCCTGTTGTCTGTGGTTGTAGCCATTTTGTTTGGGTTTATTTACATACTTGCTTTTATTGGCTGGTGGGCGTAGTGGAGGGAAGGTTAATTTGCATATTACTCTTTTATTAGGTAGGATATGTGTATATATGTATACATACATATATTTTATTAATTTCAAAGAGGAAGGGAGAGGGAGAGAGATAGAAACATCAATGAGAGAATCATTGATCAGCTGCCTCCTGCACACCCCGCACTGGGGATGGAGCCTGCAACCCCTGCATGTGCCCTTGACCGGAATCAAACTGGGACCCTTCAGTCCACAGGCCAAATCTCTATCCACCGAGCCAAACCAGTTAGGGCTGTACCCTTTAAATTTTATATTTTTCAGTAACTAATATATATAGCATTCCTCTGTTCATGAAGGTGTGATTCAGTAATAGTATTTATCAATAGAAGCCTTATCACAGGAAGCATAAAGGTTGCCGAAGATACGTTTAAGAATGTGTAAGTTCCAGGGGTTTTGTCTTTGTCCTCTGATGTGTTCCAAGGAATCTCCTGATATATAATAAATATTCAATATTTGTCAAAAGAAAATGAATCAGAATAGCATAGTCCAAGGCAACAAAATAGAGAAGATAGGCCTGAACTTAAAAAGTTTTTAATGAAAATACACCTGTAACTGATGAAAGAATCTTCACATTTCAGTCTAATTTTTTCTTCCCATTTTTACTAGGGCTCAGATAGAGCTATAAAATAAAAATAAAAAATTTTTAATTGAGTGACAGTGTTGGGTTAATATACCTATTTTATAGGCTTGAGTTCTCCAGTTTATATCTTAGAAGGGAGTGGAATAATTAGTGATTAATTATGTAAATCATGGCATTTTCCAAATTATTACTTGTCAGGGGATTCTTCCAGTAGAAAAGAATAGTGCTGATTTCACTTTTCTCCTTCTCAGGGCAGATGGGCTAAAAAAAAAAAAAAAAAAAAGCCCTAGCCTTTCCAAGACAAGGGAAAGATTAGAAGAGAAAGGAGGCAAAGGAAGAATCAAGTAAATGTATAGTCACTGGTTATTTACTGTGTTCATTGTGGGAGGTATCAGAAAATATGAACATAGATTCAGATTAATTGGAGAGAGAAAACATGCTAAAATATATGAAATAAAATTTACTATAGGAAGAAATGAAAACAGATAGGCCATGAAGTGCCAAGTGGAGGATGCAAATAATTTGTACTCCAGATTCTGGAGGAGGAAGGAGGCCCCAAGAAAAGCTTTACAGTGGTGGTGAGTTCTTGCTACTGTATATTTTTCTCACTAGAAGGAGAGGAGAATTAGTTTTATAATTAGAATATCCTGAGGACCCCCAACAGGAATTTAGTGACTTTGCCACTGAAATAACTCAGAGATTTGGGGCCATGCATCAGATATTTACCTTATGCTGCAGAATCAGGAACCAAATTGAGCAAGTACGTGAGGTTCTTTGAGGTCTCTTCATATGAGAGGTTTTTCTAAATGTAGCAGCTCTAAGTTTGGGACAACCATTTTCCCAGATTAGTTTATTTCTCAAGTTAGACTTGGCATAAAAGAGAAAGATGGAAAACGTGTGGAGCTAGCTAGCTAGCTGTCTCCTTCCTATTGTCTTTCCCACCACCCACATTTCCCAGAAAATTGAGCTACAGACTCTGTAGCTTTCCCAGCCCAATGCTGTTGTGTGCTGTGGCTTCCCATCCCCTAGTGCTCCAGAGGCCAGCCGTCCAAAGTTGGACATGACCTGTACTTCTACATCCCTTAGCTGAGCAATGTGGAGAATTTAGAAGACCCTCTTTTAGGTTTTTTGGGATTTACTTAATGGACCACTACAGCCATCCTGCACTGCTAAGTACATCAGACATCTTCTCCCCCCCCACCTCCTTAATCTTGCTAAGACTTTTATTCTCAAGCAGAAATTTATAATTGGTGTGGTTTGCACCATAGGCCATTTGTTTATGACTACATCTTGTTGATGGAACGTTGGTTAATGAAAGTATCATTATGCTGCAACTTTTGGACTTTTAAAAAAATTCTGGTGTCACCTAGTGTTTAAAACATTCATTTGACACTGAATGTATTGCCTTGAATTGCTAAAATAGGTAATTACCTTCTTATCAAATGAAAGGTTAAAGAAGTCTGGGCATTAATTGAAAAGTGTTAAATAAGTGGAGGACTAAAAGAGTTGGGGGAAAATGTCCTGTATACTTTCTGTATTCTGAAATTGCACTAATACAGTAACCACCTGCCACATGTAGCTTTGATTATTGAAATGTGGCTGGTTCCAATTGAGATGTGCTGTAAGTATAAAATACTCTATTTAGAATACTTAGTGTGGAAAAAATAATATTAAATGATAAAAGTTCAGATATATTGGGTTAAATAAAATAAATCATTAAAGTTAATGTCATGTGTTTCTCTTTTTAAAGTGTGGCTACTAGACAATTTAAAATTACTATGACTCAATAGCAAATGCCCTTCAAGGAAGTGGGATGAATCAATAATTTGACTCATGCACATAAGACAAGGGGGGGACTGAAAGGGCAGGCTGGGGCTAACTCTTGATCCTCCATTTTGTAACTGGATCCTAGCCCTCACCCAACCAATCGGGGTCAGCCAAAGCAGTGACATCACCACCACTATAAAATCCTTTGATCTGTTGAAGCTCGCTCTCTTCTGCCACGCCGCTGTTGGTGTAAGTGGGACAGAGCCCATGCTAGTATGGAATAAAAGGCTCTTTGGTTTTTTGAAAAAATAAATAAATAAAATAAAATTACTATGACTCACATTTCTTTTGGACAGCATTGTTCTAAAGGGCCAAGTACTGCACCATGCACATATGGATGTTCAGTAAATATTTTTCAGTTGAACAATCTTAAAGTTCTAAACTTTCAGTAGCCTTGCCCCTATGCAGTTTAAAATAGACTAGGACAACATGTCTAGACCAGGAGAACTAAGTAGGCCATCATCAAGATTAAGTACAATTAATTTAGGCATCCTTTCAAATTAAAACCTGCTTGGAGATATATGCTATAATATGGATGAAGCTGGGAAATATTATCCTAAATGAAAGAGGCCAGTCACAAAAGGCCATTTATTATATGATTCCACTTTATGTGAAATGCCCAGAATAGACAAATCCATAGAAAAAGAAAGATCAGTAGTTATCCAGGATCTTGGGTCAGGGCAGAATGGGGAATGACTTTAAGTAGGTGCAGGTTTATTTTTGTGTTGATGATAATGCTCAGAAATTAAATAATGTCTGCACATCTCTGTAAACATATTAAAATACTCAGTTATATACGTAAAGAGGGTGAATTTTATGTTGTGTGAATTACATCTTTATAAGTATGTTATACAAAGTTCCAGGCCAAGATATAAAGAACAAACTTATTTTTTATCCATCAATAAACCAATTACTTAAATTATATAAGCTGATAATAAAATAATATATAATTGTTTAAAACATCCAGTTTCAAGCAATTATATATATGTTAATATGGAATGTTTTATGTAAGGCCTATATTTACCTGGAGAAAACTATTTTAACAGGTTTCTCTAAACTGGTAATGGTATTTAAAAAAATACTGATAATAGCCGAAACCGGTTTGGCTCAGTGGTAGAGCGTCCGTCTGTGGACTAAAAGGTCCCAGGTTTGATTCCGGTCAGGGGCATGTACGTTGGTTGTGGGCACATCCCTGGTAGGGGGTGTGCAAGAGGCAGCTGGTCGGTGTTTCTCTCTCATCGACGTTTCTAGCTCTTTATCTCTCTCCCTTCCTCTCTGTAAAAAATCAATAAAAAAAAAAAATATATAAAAAAATACTGATAATAATGTACTTAGTAGATCCTAGCATAAATCCTGATTTTAAAAAGACATTGAAACATAATTACATTTTATTAGTATATTTATGGAAACTTATTTTTAAATCAATGATACCTTGTTATTTCTTTTGTTATAAAGGATTTGTATAAGTCCTTGAAAATACTATCTGCAGAATTGGTGCCTTGGCATAATTTAAAGAAGCCGGATGAAAAGGAAGGTATCAGAGTTGAACACCTGTTGTTTATGGTAGATACCATATTGGAAGAAATTGAAAATAAGGAAAAGGTAATACTACTATGTAAATGTTTATATTTTAACTAGTGGCCTGGTGCACAAAATTTGTGCACTTGGAGGGGGATCCTTCAGCCTAGTCCGGGAGTCCTTGGGGGATGCCCAATTGACAGCAGCATAGTATTTTTACAGCAGCATAGTATTCCCTCGTGTAGCTGTACTACAATTTTCTAATCCTGAGCCTACAGTTGGACATCTTAGTGCTGCCGCAGAGGCGGGAGAGGTTCCCGCCACTACCTGTGTGCTCACCAGCCTTGAGCCCAACCAGGGGACAGCTCCTGCATTGAGCACTTGCCCCCTGGTGATCCATGTGCATCACAGTGACATCATTCCACAGTTTGGTCAATTTGTATATTAGCCTTTTGTTATATAGGAGGATGTAATCTTAACTTAAAATTGGTAACAATATGGATATTGATAGTCTACTAGGACTCTGTTTCTCTTTTTAAAGTTTTTATTTTTTTAAAGATTGGGGATTATTTTTAACATGTGAACTTTCTTTTTCTCCCTTTTTTGGACAGGACAGCAACATACCAAACTTTAAAACTTTGAAAGCTATTGTTTGTCATTTCCAAAAATTATTTGATGTGCCTACTTTAAATGGAGTCTATCCCCGAATGAATGAAGTTTATACTAGGCTTGGAGAACTGAACAGTGCTGTGAGAAACCTCCAAGAACTCTTAGGATTAGGTGATGACCCTTTGTCATTTTGGGTCCCCATTTAAGAATTATTTGTAATCAACAAAAAGTAGGTAAAAAAGTTTAAAGTAAAAAAATTGAGGCTAAGTGAGGGATAATTGAGGATAATTGGTCTGATAAATTAATGATTTTGAGAATTCTTTTAAAATACCTTATTCTTTTTAAAATTTTATTTTATTATTTAAAGTATTACAAATAGTAGTACATGTGTCTCCTTTTTCCCCCATTGACCTCCCCCTGGCCTCCCTTACCCCTGGCACATCACATGCCTTCACCGCGCCACCCCCCCCCCCCCCCCCCCCAGCCAATCCTCTCCTGCCTTCCCAGTGTAGTTTAACATCTGTTCAATGCTTCTTTGCCTCTGGATCTATTTTTGTTCATCAGTTTATAATACTGTTTATATTACACAAATGAGTGAGATCATGTGGTATTTATCTTTCTCTGACTGGCTTATTTTGCTTAGCATAATGCTCTCTAGTACCATCCATGTTGCAAATGGTAAGAATTCCTTCTTTTTTACAGCAGCATAGTATTCCCTTGTGTAGATGTACTAAAATTTTCTAATCCAATCATCTGCTGATGGGCATTTAGGCTGTTTCCAAATCTTAGCTTAAAATACATTATTCTTTTATTTCTTTTGCAGATAGTTCATCCTCATTGTGTGTGCTGGTAAGCACAGTCGGAAAATTGTGTAGGCTGATTAATGAGGATATGAATGAACAGGTTATGCAGGTGTTGGGACCTGAAGACCTCCAAAGGTATTTGTTTTTAAAATCTTGCAAAATATCATCAAGAATGCTTGGAGTGGTGAAATTAAAGACTCAAACTTTATAAGTTTTTTATCTTTCCTGTTTGGAATAGCATCCTTTAAATAACTTGACAATCTAAAATAATCTTACACATTAGGGATGGAGAGAATGTCAAGTATTTACAAGATAAAAATAGATTGTAAAGCCTATAGGCTTACATAGGGTGGATATGTTTACATAATCCAGCATTATTGCTATAAGCCTGTTCCCAGGGGAAATAATATGTTGGCAACTTCCTGTGAGTTTAGAATATATAAACAAGTTCTATTTTTAGTATACTGCATATTTGATTAGAAGATAAAATGTTATGGGTGTTTTTTTTTAAAGCTAGGCATCTCTGTTATAAATCCTTTCTCCCCACCCCCCACAGAAATTTTATATTGCAACATATTGTAAGGGAAACATATCCCATATGTTCTATAAATTTTTTAAGAAGAACCTTTACCTAACCTGACACTTTAGTTTTCTGGTACTTAATGCTTTTTTTTTTTTTTTTTTTTTAAATATATTTTATTGATTTTATACAGAGAGGAAGGGAGAGAGATAGTTAGAAACATCCATGAAAGAGAGTCATCGATCAGCTGCCTCTTGCACACCCCCTACTGGGGATATGCCCGCAACCAAGGCACATGCCCTCGACTGGAATCGAACCTGGGACCCTTCAGTCCCCAAGCCGACGCTCTATTCATTGAGCCAAACCGGTCCCGGCAAATGCTTTTATTTTTAAATATATTTTTATTGATTTCGTAGAGGGAGAGAGAGACAGAAACATCAATGATGAGAGTGAATCACTGATCAGCTGCCTCCTGCACGTCCCCTACCAGGGACCTGGACCAAGCCCACAACTAGGGCATGAGCCTTGACCAGGAATTGAACCGTGATCTCCTGGTTCGTAGGACAACACTTAACCACTGAGCCACAGCAGCTGGGCTACTTAATGCTTTTAAAAGGAACATTTATCTCACTACTGGTCTTTTTTCCCTTCCCACCATTTTACTGTACTGGCTACTAATATTTAATGTTTAAGAGAACACTAGATATAAAAGCCAATTATTTTTTTTATGGATTTTTTAAAATATATTTTTTATTGATTTTGTACAGAGAGGAAGAGAGAGGGATAGAGAGTTAGAAACATCGATGAGAGAGAGTCATCGATCAGCTGCCTCTTGCACACCCCCTTCTGGGGATATGCCCGCAACCAAGGTACATGCCCTCGACCGGAATCGAACCCAGGTCCCTTCAGTCCCCAAGCCAATGCTCTATCCATTGAGCCAAACCGGTTTCGGCCAATTATTTTTTTTAATATATTATAGAACATGGTCTCTCAAGAATTCTTGAGCTAAATGGTAGGGAAACTTTATATGAATTTACCTAAATTTTACCTTAGAATAGATATTTACACTGATAATAAGGTATATATATATATAGTTTAGAAAACTGATGTTTGATGAACAAAGCGCTCAAAAGTATTACAGTAAATTATTAAATTTATATTTAAATTAGGACAGTTTCTATTTTGAAAATGTTCTATGTTTAATCAGATGCAAGAACTTTAAGTTGGAAATTCAGTGTAAACTGCCTTTTTTTTTTTTTTTTTATAAAGCATTATCATCAAATTGCAAGAACACGAGGAATTTTTTCCAGCTTTTCAGGCATTCACTAATGATCTACTTGAAATCTTAGGTAAGCTCTCTGTTAATGGTGTTTAAATTTCAAGTCTCAAGATGTCAATGGGTTTGAGTGAAGACCTTTGTCCTTAGTCACTGAATTAGTGTTTTCACCCGGAGCGTTCGGTAGGAAGTCTCTGGAAACCATGAGCAGTCCTGCGAACACTCCTAACTTGCAGCTGGAGGTGATTGGGATTAGTCTACAGTACAGAGAAGCACATACCCTTTACGGAGCAGGGGCTGCCTTTGTCCTGGGACCTGGAGATGAGAAATGGCATTTACTCTGGCTGGGCCCTGGCTCTGTGATTTCCCAGTGAGAAACCTTGATAGAATTTATGACCTTGAATAGTGTTTTTTCTTTTCCTCCTCCTCCTCTTGCTCCTTTTAAAAGATAGCACCTGTCTACTGTGTTTTTTAAATCTACAAATTATCCCTGGCTGGTGTGGCTCAGTTGGGTGGAGCAGTGTCCCATTCACCAAAAGGTGGTGGGTTCGATTTCTGGTCAGGGCACATAGTACTCAGGTTGTGGGTTTGATCCCCAGTATAGAATAATATGACTTTACCTGCTTCTGCATAACTTAAATACTATAGTGAAGTTCTCATTATTAATAGATATTTTAATAGATATGCTGGTAACACTTATTTCAGAATCCTTCTGAACAATTTCCTCTCACATGTTAGCATGGTTCATGTGAGATCATTTGCGTTAAGAAGCCAAGTCTCCCTGCAGATGAAGTCTGCATTTTAGTCACAGTTGCAATTCTGGAGTTAAATATTATATATAACATTGGGAAAGTTAAAATCTGTTTTGGGAAGCATAACTTTTTTTATTACTAGATGTCATAGCATCTATAACTACAGAGTGATGTACTGAATATCAGATATGGAAGTCTTTCTTCCTAATTTCATATAAGCTGAGAAAATTCTCATATTAGCCAAGATTCTTATCATTTATCAGGTAGATTTCTCATTTAGTGAGAAAATAGGTGTGATTTCATAATGGGTTAGATAACAGCTTATCAAGACATAATGTGTGAACCAAATTCTATGTTGTAAATTTGCTTATATTTTTTCCTTTCTTATATCTTGATGCTTTGTAATTGGATCCAGACAAGTATTCTGACTGAAGTCAGAAGCTTAAATAACATGAGGTCATGTGTTTAAACAAAAGAAAGAACAACCAAAATCCAGCTAAACATTGAGGGAGGAAGGTGGATACTAAGGAAGCATGTTTTATGTAAGATTTATGAACAGCAGCCTAGCAGAATAATCTAGAAAAAGTGGTAAGAATCTAGAGAACCTGCCAGTGGGGCTTACTTTAGGTAGGGCTGGACTTTATTTTATTTTTTTAAAATATATTTTATTGATTTTTTACAGAGAGGAAGAGAGAGGGATAGAGAGTTAGAAACATCGATGAGAGAGAATCATCGTTCAGCTACCTCTTACATACCCCTACTGGGGATGTGCCCGCAACCAAGGTACATGCCCTTGACCGGAATCGAACCTGGGACCTTTTAGTCTGCAGGCCGACGCTCTATCCACTGAGCTAAACTGGTTTCGGTGGGACTTTTTTTTTAATTTTTAATTTTTTTTTTGTTAATCATCAGTTGAGGATGTTTTTTCATTGATTTTTAGAGAGAGTGGAAGGGAGATGGAGAGAAAGATACATCAATGTGAGAGAGACACATTGATTGGTTGCCTCCTGCACACACCCCAATCAGGGAACCTGCAAAGGTATGTACCCTTGACCAGAATCAAACCCAGTATCCTTCAGTCCACAGGCTGACACACTATCCTCTGAGCCAAACCGGTGAGGGCATGGAGTTTAGATAATTGGAGAAAGGTCTGTGCTTCTGTCCCGACCCGCGGGACAACAACGGGGGGCACGCAGGAACCACCTAAGAGAAAGAATCAAACAAGGAACGCAAAAGAATGGAGGCAAGACAAGGTTCTGATCAAGCCTCAGTTTTATTCTCTGAAATGGCTGTATTTATACAGCAGAGACAAAGGGGGGCAGGGCTGCCCATGCAGGGGGGTCTTTGGTATGGCAACACAGGATTGACTAATTGCCAGAGGCGGTGTGACATTCCAAGGTGCAATATTCAAAGGCTGGGCTATCTAGGGGGGGAGGATCAGGAAGGGGAAGAGGCAGGAAGACAGGAGATGCTAAACCCCAGGTTAATCTTATCTTCTGGCCAAGCCCTCAGGGCACCACACAACCTCTGCTAGAAGGAACTCAATTCTATTTCCTTAAGACTGAGTTGCTTGCCTCAACTCTGCTAGCTCCCAACATCCTTCCTCAGTAACCAGGAGCTTTCAGACAGAGTTCTGACTTGGGCTGATTGGGAAAAGATAGTTTTAGGAAGAAAAATCAGATTCAGAAAGAAGCTGGTGGAGAAAAACATGAACTGATTTATCTGGGAAGCTGGAGCAGGCTAACCTCTAGTACATTACATCTAATATTTATACTTTGGGAAGTTTCACATCTTTTATTACATTTCATCCTAAGAAGTAGACTTCAGAGTGAGCCTACTAATGAGAAATCTTTCCAAGAGAATTAAGGACAGGACTATGTTCCATGCAAAGAAATCCTTAGGGACCAGGAGAGAAAAGGCCTCTACCTGGGATTTCACCATGTAGGCTCACCCACGTAATCATACAGACTTAAAGAGGCAGTAACATCATATCATAATGTGGCCAGAAAGATCTAGGAATAAGAGCATACTGCTGATGAATTTAAGTCAGTGAATGCTTATAGGTAGGGGGTAGCTTTTACAAACAAGATGCCCTGTGAAGCATCTGTGTCTGCATTAGTGATATTCTCATCATCACTATTGGAGAAAAAGGTCATGTACATGAAAGCACCAGTGTTGGTGCTTTTGTGTTTGAGGTTTGCCTTTGCATAGAGATTCTCATTTCATCTGAGCCTATCACTTAGACAATGCTACTCTTTTATCATTCTTGTGTGTTTTTTATTACAGAAATTGATAACTTGGATGCCATTGTACCTGCAGTAAAGAAATTAAAAGTACTTTCATACTGAAAACAAATCATTTTTACTGTGTAAATTGCATTCTTGACATTCTAATTATTTTGTAGGATTGATCTTATCTTTGAGACGAGTTATAAAAAGTATTTACTTTCAGAATTCATTCCCTTCTTAGTATTGGGTCTTTATATATATATTTTTTAACTTTGAGATTCTTATGTAGAAAACAGTTAAGTTAAAGTAGTCAGTTAACTTTAGACCCTTTAATCATTTCTCAAGCAATTATTGAGTGCTTAAAATTTAATATTTAGAGGATAGTGTGTAAGTAAAAGAGAAACTCAGGGAGAGTTTGAAAAATAGAAAGGTCACATTTAAGTTCAGGGTTTAGTGACCTTTCTGGTTCTGGGAACAAAGAATGCAATGGCTCTAAGTCCAGTAGGAAGATATTGCTTTCCTAGCAAGAAAATGGCACCTGTTAAGATATCCCTCATGGCACTTATCCTTTCAAAGCAAGAGTAAGAAAAGGAAGGAGAAGGAAATGTATTAGGATAGAAAATAAATTATGAGGTAACATAGATGAGTAGATAAAAGTTTCTCATAAAGAAGTGTCCCTTTTTTTTATTTTGCAATCTTGATGTAATGTACTTTTTATAAGGGCATGAGAACTTAAATAAAATTTTTATGAAGAATTTTCAAACATAAGCGTCCTCAGTGACTTATTTGTATCACTCACAAATAATGAGTCATATTCTCTTATTAGTCATATTCACTTCCTTGGGCAGCAAGTTCACCCTTGGATGCCGTCTACTTATTCTTTATTCTCAATATTCAAGTCTTTATTTTCTTAAAGGACTAGTGTTCTGCTTCACATCTATGAGTACAAGCCACTTTGGGCTACTACTGCTTTCCCTACCACAGCCCTGTACCCCCTGCCCCCTCACTTTCATAAGTACCGTATTTTTCGGACCATAAGACGCACTTTTTTCCCCCCAGAAGTGGGGGAAAAAGTCCCTGCGTCTTATGGTCCAAATATAGCCTACACATACACTTTAAAAAAAAAGTTTTTTTACTTGCCCGGCTCTGTGTGGTCTCTGTGTGCTTGCCCGGCTCTAAAATGGTTCTAAATGCTGCTGTTTACTTTACAGGGTTGATTACATGTGTTTATGACTGTGATGTTGGGTTTTAATGCACATAAAATATTTTAGGACACTATTTGTTTCAGAATCTTTTTTTCTTCATTTCCCTTCTCTAAAAACTGGTGCGTCTTATGGTCCGAAAAATACGGTAGTAGACTTAGGAAGACTACTTAGTTATTCTTGTTTGTTGTTGTGTAGAATTTTATAAAGAATTTCCAGGAAGCAGCAGGCTAGAGTGGAGAGAGGAATGTCAGTAGATATGCATACAGATCCTTGGTGTTGTGACTTTAGGGATTAGACATAGTTCTTTCTAGATTTAAAATTGTTTTATTAGTCTGCAATTATATTTTCAAACAATAGCCCATAATTTGTGAGCCTGTATCAGAGGGTTAGATAGAAAAAAATATTTGGGATCTGGCCAGTGTAGCTCAGTTGGTTGGAGTGTTGTCCTGTACACCAAAAAATGGTGGGTTTGATTCTGGTTGAGGTTCTATCCCCAGTTGGAGTGTGTACAAGTGACAACTGATCGATTCTTCTCTCAAGTCAATAAAAACTTAAAAAAATACACGCACACACACACACACACGTATATGTGTATGTATATGTGTGTTTGTGTATGTATTTGGATATTTAATAATGTAAATATATTGAGTTGATTAGATTATTCCAAGAAATTGCTATGAGACAGTTTGGAGATTAATTTCTTCCTTTCAAATATTGTTTAAAGTTTAATTTTTAAAATTTAAAAAGAAATTTAAAAAGGAAGTTTAAAAAGCTTAATCTAAATTTTGTCAATTTAATCTAAATTTTAAGAGCCTATGGCTAACTCTTAGTTTAAAACAAAGGTTTTTTAGACTCTTCCTCAAAGGCCTAGGAGTCTTTTGGAGGGGGACAGGGCCACTAGTCCTCTTTATTAGATAATTAATTAAAGTATAAGTAAAGTTCTGCAAATATTATTTAGCTCTTGATTTTCTTTAAAAAAAATATATTTTATTGATTTTTTTACAGAGAGGAAGAGAGAGGGATAGAGAGTTAGAAACATCGATGAGAGAGAATCATCGATCAGCTGTCTCTTGCGCAACCAAGGTACATGCCCTTGACTGGAATCAAACCTGGGACCTTTCAGTCTGCAGGCCGACGCTCTATCCATTGAGCCAAACTGGTTTCGGTTAGCTCTTGATTTTCTTACCATTTTATTGATGTGTAATTGACATAAATTATACATATTTAAAGTATATGGTTTGATAAATTCTTATACATCTGTGAAACCATCACCACATTCAAAATAATATACACATCACTCCAAAAGGTATTTCTTTGCCCTGGCAACAAATATCTGCTTTTAGTCATTATAGTTTGCTTTTGATAGGATTTTATATAAGTGGCGTCATACAATGAGTTCTCTTGCTTGTCTTCTCACTTGGCATAATTATTTTGAGGTTTTTGCATGTTGCATTTATTAACAGTTTGTTCCTTTTTATTGCTGTGCAGTATTCCATTGTATGAATATACCATAAATTGTCCATTCCTTTGTTGTTGGAAAGTTGGGTTATTTCCAGTTTTTCGCTATTTCTACAAATAAAACTTGTATGAACATTCATGTTCAGGTCTTTGTGTGGACACATACCTGATATTCAGTGACTTGAAAACTATGGTTTTCATGTATTTTGTCTTTTTGTTGATTTTGGTTGGTATAGGCAGTATTTTGTCTTTTTGTTGATTTTGGTTGGTATAGGCAGAAGGGTAAATTTGGTTTCTGTCAGACCATCCTGGTTTAAAAGTGGAAGTTTAGAAGAAAATAATGCAGGGTTGTCTCTTTACTTTTTCTAATTTTATTACATTGTAGTCAGTTTGGATACTAAGTCTTTGGAATTTGTTGACTATGTGATAAATTATATACCTGTTCTATATGTGCTTTAAAAAAAGTCTAATTTCATACATACATATAGCTACTATGTTGTTTAAATCTACTTTTTGTCTGCTTGATTTGTTTATGGGCGATACTGAAATTTCTGGATTTTTCAAATTTGTTTTATATACTTTGAATCCATTTTATAAGTAGTTATAAATTCAGAGTTGATAATATCCTCTTATCCTCTATTTATTGCTACTCTTGCATTTTGCCTTGAATACAATATTGTCCATTCTTTTAATTGTTGCTGGATATTTTTTTTTCATGTATTTCACTAATCTTTTATTTATTGTAAAAAATACGCTAAAAAATGTTAAAAGCCATAAATGTCAAATATAACAAATGCTTATAAAGTGAACACTCTGCAACAACCAAGAAGTAGAACATCACAAGCACTCCAAAAGGCCTTCCCCCCCATTAGAGGTAAGGAAGTGTTTATTTTGTAAACAGGTTTTTCATTTTTGTGTGTATGGCCAAACCAAGATAGTTGAATTTTGCCTGTTTTTGAACTTTATAAAAATGGAATCATATGTGTATTTTTAACATTTCTTATTTTGGTCAGTACTGTGTTTTTACTCTACATCCATGCTGCTGTGTGTAAGTCTAGGCTATTTGTTTTCACTGCTGTCTAGAATTCCTCTATGAATATGTTACAATCCATTTGTTCCACTGGAGATTGATACTTAAGTTGTTTCTAGTTCTTAGCTTCTAGGAACTGCTGCTATGAAAATTTTTGTAAATGGAACTTTGTACACTTGTGTGCAAGTTTTCTAGAACAATATCCAAAAAGTAAAACTGCTGGATCTTATGGGAAAACACTTCTATATGTAGCCACAGAGGCTGTGTAATGTACAAATGGAGGTAGTACCATTTCTATAGGTAACAGTGTAAATGGGGCCTTTGGGATTATACAGTGTGACTACTTTTAATAGGGAATGTATATCTGCAGTTTTAGAAGAAAATGTCAAACTATTGTCTAAAGTTGTTGCACCATTTTATCCGCGTTGGTGGTATAATGGTGAGCATAGCTGCCTTCAAAGTTGTTGCACCATTTTATCCTCCCATCATCTGTATAGGAGTTCCTACTTTTCCATATCCTGACCAATACCAGGTAAATCAATTTTTAAACTTTTTTCTAGATTAGTGTCTAGAGCTATTATTTTTATTTTTATTTTTATTTCCATTATTACTAATGAAGGTAAGCATCTTTTTATTTGATTAATGGCCACTTATATTTCTTAAGGTGCATTTATGTGTCTTTATTTTTCTGTGGGACTTTCTATTGGTTTGTAGGTTATATATTCTGGACATGAGCGATTTGATAGTTACATGTCTTGCAAATGTCTTCTTTCCATTTTCCTGTACTTGCTTTGTATGAACTGAAGAATCTAATTTTGATATAGTGCTCTTCGTATCTTATGAAATCTTTCCGTAGTCACAAGTTGTAATGTTATTTTCCTATATATTATCTGATAGCTATATAGAGTTGCCTTTCACATTTAGTCTAATATACCTGGAGTTGTTTGACTTGTGTATTTTTTAAATATCAAGACTTACTGAGGGTTATCAACATATCTTACAGATTTCTTCAGTCTCTACTGTTTCCCACATACCACTTCTGACTTCTTGCTGAAATACGTCTGGCCATTTTTGTATAATCTGCTCATGTGCTTCATATTTTTTAAATTCTACTTTTTATAAATTATCCAGTGAGTTTAGTGGGGATTATCTGCTGTAGTCCACACGTGCCCTGGATGGTAATGGCAACCCTAAGGGCCAGTTTTGTGATTGCCTCCTACAGGGCTTCACATGGTTCCAGGTTTTCACCTAAGTTTCAAGTTTGCGGGGTTCCCATACCAAGTCAGTTTTGTTAACTTTAGACCCTGTGAACCCATAAAGGAGATTAACTTTATTGTTTTTGCCCATTGCTGACAACCAATTCCTTATCTTTATTGATAAGGACTGTTCTTGACACTAAATTTTTCAGGCTCTTTGTCCCTCATATAGTAAGTAGCTTTGTCTCCTGGCTGGTGTATTCTAAAATTCTGGTTCCCTTCAACACTTTAACACCCCTTCAGCTCCTGTACATTGCTTTAGATTGCCTCTTTAACCTTACCTGTTACTTTCTAATTAACCGTGTTCAAAATAAATGTTCATGCTTTAACTAGGTTTTCTATGTTTGGAAGAGGAAAGATAGGTTTTCACTCGTCTGTTTTGCCATTTTGGTCAGTTGTTTTAGGGTTGCCAGGTTTCAGGATCTGATATATGATAACATTCCCTTTTACTTCTTTGGTCCTTTACCATTTCCAAGACCTTTGTTTACTTAGTGAACATGACAATGCCATTGTGAGGTAGCTAGGACAGGCATCAGTTGCCCCATTTTATTATAAGAATTTGTCATTCAAGATAGAAATCACAGCAGAAACAAATTTATTACACATCTACATGTATTGTACTTAGCATAATCTTGGATGACGGAGGTGAAATCATCAATTCAAATAGCTTATATAGTCAAACCTCATTTCTCCAATGGCTCCCATCTCCAGCAATTTTGTTCTTGACCAAGTTGCTCACAGAAAAAATGTCTAGGTTATGGAACCAAGCTTCGGTTTTCAACCTGACAACCCTCTCATGCTGAGATATCAGCATGAAAGGCTCAGGCAACAAAGAGATAATGCTTTTGTTGCTGGGGAAGTCATTAATTAGCACAATTTTAAAACATAAAGAGGTCAAGAGTGCTAATGTTGCTAACTGTGAAAGAAACAATGATCACAGGCAATTGAAGAGGTAGAAAAACATGGATTTGGATAAACAAAAAGCAGTCAGGGACAGCCATTTTGGAAGGCAGCTATGCTCACCACTATACCACCAATGCAGGGACAGCCATTTTGGACGCAGTGATAAATTAAAGATGCTGCATGCTGATCTGAAAGTGATTCGTTTAAGGCTAGTAGGGATAGTTTGATAAACTTAAGTGCTTATTTATAGATGAAAAAGTACATTAGACGTGTACTGTATATAAGAAAGATTAAAGCAGTGAATCATTTGGCAGTCTGGATAGATGAATTGAATTTACATTATTTCTAATGGAAAAAATGATTACTTCTTTAACAGCCTTCCAGAATGAATTAAGTTCAAGAACCAAGGTTCCACTGTAGTTCAATTGGAGAGTAAACGGAAACAAAAAAATACCAAACACAGTACAATCAGTTGCTTAGCATGTAGATACCTATTAAACTTTTTTAAATTAAATGTTACAAGACAGGGAATTGTTAAAATGAAAAATGCACAGTATTTCTATACTATAGGTGGTGGGGAGAGGCCTAGTGGAGGAGGTGGATTTGAGATAGGCCTCATAAGAGTTGAGTAGGATTTTAATAAGCAGGATGTAATATTTGGACTATTCTATAACAGTGGTCGGCAAACTCATTAGTCAACAGAGCCAAATAACAGTACAACGATTAAAATTTCTTTTGAGAGCCAAATTTTTTAAACTTCTTCTAATGCCACTTCTTCAATAGACTCGCCCAGGCCCTGGTATTTTGTGGAAGAGCCACACTCAAGGGGCCAAAGAGCTGCATGTGGCTCATGAGCCACAGTTTGCCGACCCTAGTTCTAGAAGAGCAAATAAGTAGCAAAAAAATCCTGGAGACTAGATTATGTTAGATTTAAAAGGCAAATTAAAGAGTTGGCTTTAATCTTACATAAAATAAAAAATATATAATTTATAAGTGAGAGTAACAGAGTAAACTTTAAGATGTTACTGTTCTTCAGAAAAGCTGCAGCTAATGCAGTGGTTGGGAGAGAAAACTGATGGCAACAGGGCATTGCCTAATGGATAAGAGACAAGGACATGACAGTTCTAGGAACAGCTGAGAACAAGAATATTTGTTTTTATAGTTTGAAATGCAAAGGAGGCACTTGTTTAAATATACAATTTACATGGTTTGCTTTTTACGTGTTATTTATTAGGGGAACCAGCTGTCTTTTAGAAAGGTGGAGCTGAATTCCACATGAGAGGACACAGAAAGCCTCTCTGGCACTGACTGCAGCAGAGTCCAGCTCTGCTAGGGGAGTGCAGACGTAGACCGGGAACTTGGCTTGTATTTCCTATGGAAACATGCTGGAGTATGGTGACAGGCCATCCACACTGGGGTATTTAAAGCAATGTGTTTGAGTATATTATTGTATCGTTTTTCCCATCAGAAAAAAAAAATACATTTTAGTTCCAATTCAGATAGGCAGAGGAGTGCCTGAGGTGGCAGCCAGAAGGGCGTAGGTAGTGTTAGCTCTGAGCAATTTGGAGGTGGGTCACCTTCTAGTCCCCTAAAAGAAGCCTCCTCCCTTGGTCAGCCATTGCTCCAGGAACAGACCTCCCAGCCCCAATGTCTGAGATGGAGCATTTTTGACACATGCATTCAGGCAAGGCCTGAATTCAGATGGTCTACAATTAGCTATCAAAAGTGAAAAATCACCACTGAGGTAATAATTAGCCTTGAATACCCCATTTCTTTCGAGATTTGAACAATTAAATCCAACCAAGAGAGAGTAGTTCTTATTTTCACTTACGTTTATCTCTTCCTAATATTATCCATTCAGTTAAATTCACACAAGAATGTATGTATATATATTTTCAAATGGCTGTTCTGAATTAAATTACAAAATATACATATATACACATTTTAATATAAAGATGATTATGTTGCTCATCAACTCCTGGGCTGTCCATCTGGAGTGAGCTCATACCTGTAAGACAATTGGGTTTGGATTTATGTTAGTATTGAGAGTGTTTTGTGATAGCATCAGGACAGTCTAGCCTGTATGGGACCAGCAGAACCCATCATATATAATAAAGAGTTAATATGCTAATTAGACCAAACAGCAGAATGACCGTCCGTCATGCATCAGGCCTCTAGTCTCTTTATAAGTCAGGATTAAGGCTAGAGCTGACAGATCCTCTAGGTAAGTGAGATGTGCAGACAGTAGAGGTGACTGATAATCAGCCTTCCTCGACCAAAGGAGCTGAAATGTTCTAAGGAAAAACTGTGGAGAGAGAGATGGGCAAATAAGACGGTTAATGTGATAAAGTGAAAGGTCTCACTTACCATTGTGAGAAGCCCATAATCAGATCTTCTTTTGACAAATCAATCAGTACCTAAACAATCACAAATAAATCAGTTCACTTCCAAAAATGTTGCATTAAATGGAAACATACGAGATAAATGGAATTGACTGTAAAAAGGTCTTTTTGGCTTGCAACATGGAACCTCTCCAGGACAGTGACCTCAGTGTCCTGGGGCGATGTGAATTGCTGTATACCCCAGGAATGTCTATATGAATGTTACAGAAAGAACAGCTTGCCTCTGGTCATAATTTAAAGCAAGACACCATAGTTGCCTCAACTATATCACTTCATAGAAGTGGGCTTTAAAAAGATGAGCATAAAATGTTTATTAGAATACAACTATGAACAAAATATAATTCTTTGTCTCTCTTCCTGAAGATTCTCTTTCCTCTATTTCTACTTTAAGCAAAATCCTATCATTACAAAAATATTGATGTAATAAGATCCAAGCTTCACAACAATGCTATAAATATAGAAATATATACAGAAACAATACCTAACACCCTAGTAGATGTTCATATACTTGTGTAGTAATGAATTGGGATATTCTTGAGTTTTTACAGTATGGTTTATCATACTAATTTATTCATCTACATAATTTAAAGAATATTTTACGTTTCTTGAATTCAGTTCTGGTAACAGTTGAATGATCCAATCAGAATTTCTACAAGGCTGCCATTCCTCCAAGGAGCTAGCTGGAGTACTAGGAGGGACAGAGTACCAAGAGTTCTCATACTTACTTTTCCCAGCTCCTTCCTTCTGTGTGAGCCAAGTGGCCTACTGTTTTTCACTGCGACGTCTAGTGACCTCTTCTGTACTTCTTCCAAGGGAACAAAAAATTCAAATCTTTAAGAAGCAAAAAGTCAGGAAATCAGAGTTACATATTTTCATAGAAAATTGAAAATGTGCCATCTATTTTCCTACTTTTAAAACAGAAGATATAGACTATTGAGAATAGCTTTTAGAACAGTATTGGCTCATGGCAGATACGCAGTGCATCACTCTCTACATAATCATTGTCCTGGAAGTGTCAAGAGCCTGTTTGCCTCTTAAGTTATCGGACTACTGAGCTTTGTGTTCTTGGTGCTGTTGTTGACTATTAGTTGATCATATATGTATGGGTTTATTTCTGCATTTTCTATTGTTCAATTGATCTATGTGTCTGTTTTTATGCCAATACCTTTCTGTTTGATTACTGTAGCTTTGTAATATCATTGAAATTGAGCAATGATGCCTCTGGCTTTGTTCTTAAGGTTGCTTTGGGTCTTTTATAGTTTCATGCAAATTTTAGGATTGTTTGTTCTATTTCTATGAAATATACCTGGGATTTTTAATAGGGATTGTGTTAAATCTGTAGATTGTTGTGGGTAGTATTAATTTCTTCAATTCATGAGCACAAACTATCCATTTATTTATGTTCCCTTCAATTTCTTTAATTAATGTCTTGTAGTTTTTAAGATACAGGTCTTTCACTTTCTTGATTAAATTTATTCCTAGGTATTTTATTCTTTATATAGTAAAGTTATAGAATACAAAATCAATACACAAAATCTGTTGTATTCTTATATAATAACAGTGACATATCAGAAGGGGAAATGAAGAAAATAACTCCATTTACAATTGCCACAAAAATAATAAATACCTAGGAATAAACCTAACAAAAGAGGTAAAGGACCTTTACACTGAAAACTGCAATAAATTGAAGGCATAACATAATGGAAAGTATCTTTATTAAATGAACATATTACCTAATGCAATATATAGATTTAATGCAACCCCAATGGTATTTCTCACATAAAAATTGAATGGAATAACAAAAGACCCTGAAATAGCCAATGCATTACTGAATGTAGCACACTCCGATTTCAAATTATACTACAAAGCTATAGTAATCAACAGTATGGTAATGACAAAAAACAGACACAGACCAATGGAACAGAATTGAGAGCCCAGAGATAAACCCACACACATGAGCAACTAATTTTTTTACAAAGGAGCCTTAAACACACAATGGAGAAAGAAAATTATTTTCAATAAATGGTGCTAAGAAAACTGGAAAGCCACATGCAAAAGAATGAAACTAGACTGCTGACAGCATATACTCAAAATGGATTAAAGACCTGAAACAATAAGATACATAGAAAACAAAGACACTAAATTTATGGACCTTGGTCTCACAGGGTCTTTGGGAACTTGATCCCAAAGACAAGGGAAGTAGAAGCAAAAATGGGTAGTTATTCCAAGATAAGAGGAAACCAAAACTATCAGGTATACTGTATCTTCCTTGGCTGGCTAGAAATGTCTTCTCAGGATTTTGAAGAAGGAAGCAATGGTGACATTTTTATTTCTGCACCTTGAGGCCAACTTGAAATCAAGAATGGATAAGACTGCCACAAAGCCCTCGAAAACAAGCAGGTCCTCCAAGTACGTGGGTGGACCAAGTATTGAGTTATCTGTTTCACCTGTCACCTATGCTTTGCTGTATGAGGGAACAGAGGCCAAATAACTTGCCTTAGAGAAAATGTTATGCTTATTTTTAACTAACTTTTTGCTCTAAAACAGATTCAAAGAAAACATATTTAACCAGATTAAAATCCTTTTCCTGCCAAAGAGGCTTCATTTAAAGGTATGGAACATTACATAATCAGGAACACTTCAGTTCCTGTGACCAAGAATAGTCGTCGGCTGTTTTGCTAAACTGCCCTGGCAGTCCTTTTCTTCCACTAAAGCAGTGTTTCCCAAAGTGTGGTACGCATACCCCCAGGGGTACGGGAAGAGTTTGGTGGGGATATGCACTGCACTGTGCTTAGCTGCGCCTAATTCTACGTTCTCATGAGTATGAGGGGCACTCAGAGTTATGAAAATTATAGAAGGGTACACATGTGTCAAAAGTTTGGGATACACTGCTATAGAGAAGCTTCATGAAGTCATACACCATGTTGTCCTGTTCAATCCAGCCCTTCAGACTGCCAGGCACACAGCAGCTGCTCAGCAAGTACCTGAATGGGTGAGGCACTCTAGGCAGGCCGACTGGACCACTTACGTCTCATCGAACAGGGGTTCCACGGTCTTCCGCTTCACTGAGGTCTTCTTACGACTTGCCCACCTCCTTTCTGGCAACAAGTAGACACGGACATAAGGATCAACGCCACTGCTGGTACAGCGTGTCAGGTTTCTGATTTGGTTTCAAAGACATTAAAGAAAAAAGGTCCTGGTTTTCAAACATTGAAAACACTCATTTGGAGAAAGCTGTACTAGCTATTCAGCTTTAGGCAGCCTTGAGGATAAAAATGCCCAGGAGTCTAAATGACCAACAAAGCAAAAGCCTGTAGAATTTGGAGGACAGAACATCAGATGCATGGCTTTGACAACGTAAGTTTTTGTCTAGTTTGGAGTACAGCTAAGTACTTTCCATCTAAAGGAAGGTGGGAAAATGCACTGACTCCACTACCCCGGGCAGTTTGGCAGCGCGTGCTTCTGAGCAAAGCCCTTGGCTTGAGCTCGTCAACACCTCTGAGGACCTTGTCACTCACAGCAGGACAGCTTTCAAACCTCACTCGTTCCCACTGTACTGTCTGTCTTGGGGCTGCCATCTCTGCACTGCTCCAAGTGCTCCCACTCCTTTTGGCCACCTGACGCTCCCAAAGGACCGTTCCTGGCCCGGCCTCCTTACCTGCAGCCGTTGATGAGCACGCTGAGGCAGCGCCGCAGACACACGTAGCGCACGGTGAGCTGGATCTCGCCCAGCCTCCGCGGCCTGAAATCCCTGCCCCTGTAAAAAAAGGGCTCGACACTGCTTTTGCCTTTACAGGTGTTGGCCTCTCTCCCCAAGACAGAGCATGTCCTGCTTTCGGAATACGGGTTAATTTAAAAATTCTCCAGTTGGAAGTCAGTTCCATCCCTCATTCATGTATAATTATCCCACTTTACCATAGGAAGAGCATGAGCCCTGCAGTGGGACCTGCCTTACAGCGAGATTGCTTGTGGGATCCTGGGTGAGTTATTTCCCTTTTAGGATAGTAAGTTCTATTTCATAGGGTTATTGTGAAAATCGAATTAAATAATGCACTATCCGATACCACAATAAACACTTTAAGTGGCAGTCATTGATTACATAATTCCATGTTATCTCTGCATAACTCTTCAGAACTCAGGAAAGGTTTCTGATGTTACAACCAAAGTCCAGGGTCTATTTACTGTTCTGTATGTAGACTATTGGGTGCACATGTGCTTCACTTGCTCCCTCTCCCCCCACTTCCTCCACATCCTGGGTTCTTTCTACCACACTATGCTGCCTCTTGTGAAGCCATTCTGTGAAAAACCAGAACTGGAACAGAAAAGCAAGTTCATATCTACTTTTCCATCCAGGGAGTTATTTTCATGCAGGTGATCTTAGAAAAGATTAAGCAAAGAAATGCATACTCAATGTTGAGGCTGATATCTGTCAGGTCAAAGCAGGAGGTGGCCAGGGAGTTGAGTGAGGACATGCTGGGAGCCAGCCCCGCGGGCAGCCATTCGAACGGGAAGGCAGGGCACTTCATGGGTCTGGGTGACTTGATGGGCCCTGGAGAGTGGGGGCCGGGGACAGTCAGGAAGATGGAGGCCGAACTCTTCTTCTCCCCCACGGGCTCACAGAAACCTTTGGCACTGTCCTTGCCTTTCGGCTCTGGGTCCGGCGCTTGGGGTGTGGGCTCGGTGGCAGCAGTGGTGGCGCTGGTGGCTGTTGTGCTCTTGGAGGCTTCCTTGGTACCAGAAGCAGGGTCTGGGGGGCATGGCAAGTCTGCAGGCCCCTCTCCCTGGGGTGGGTCTTTGGGGCCTTCATTGGTGGCCACCTTCTTAACAAACAGAGGGCCTTTCTTTAGGGCGTCAGGTCCCGTGTATGGGCTTCCCATCTCCCGTTCTTCCACACGTAGGAACTGCAAGCAAACGAAAGGGTTGTTTATGGGCTGGGCCCACCACTTCCATTTCACTCTCCCCTTAACCTCTGGGAAATGGTTCCTTCTTTTTTTTCTGGGAGGAAAAGTTTTTTTCAAAACTCCCAGTTCCTTCCTGACCGCCCAATCCAATGAAATTTTCTCTCCAGACTATGTTTTCCTTAACCTCCTTCGGCCTCTGTCTTTCTTCTCCTGCCTCACAGTGGGTCTTCATGAAGATGCAGTCCCGTCCCTCCTTGCTGTACTCACACTGGCTGCAGGACAGTTGCACTCTCAGCATGCAGTTTCCCTCTGTGCAGAGGCTTCCCTCACCCTAACCTTCACACACATCACCAGCTACCTTCTGGACATGGCCGTTTTCCAACTGTCACCTATTCACCATTACTTTCCCCAAAATGTGTTCTATCCAGACTTACCTCTGTAGTCCTAGCACCAAATTTTCAAACTTCAGCCATTGCATTTCCTCTTTTCCCTTCATTTATTACTTATCAAAACCCTTCCTAAGGGTTTCCATTTCCAGCAATATGGTGGTTAAAATACTCTGAAAAACATCTTGCTAAGAATGGTTCAATAAAATATCCTTTTAAATAGCCAAAATCACAATAAAATCCCTAGAGCTAAAAAAAGAAAAAAAAAAAAAAAAGTGAGGGGGTGGGGGAAAAAACTAAAAAATAAAGGTTAAGCTTTCTGAGGGTCATTTATCAACCTTGGAATCCACGGGGTTAGGAAAAGAGGCCTTGGCCAATGTGGGATGGGGAGTGAACCTATGAAGGTGGGAACTCTTTAGTGAAAAAGTAGCCTAGGGCCATGGTCGGCAAACTGTGGCTCACGAGCCACATGCGGCTCTTCGGCCCCGTGAGTGTGGCTCTTCCGCAAAATACCACGGCCTGGGCGAGTCTATTTTGAAGAAGTGGCGTTAGAAGAAGTTTAAGTTTAAAAAATTTGGCTCTCAAAAGAAATTTCAATCGTTATACTGTTGATATTTGGCTCTGTTGACTAATGAGTTTGCCGACCACTGGCCTAGGATAAACTAATGATAGGACATGTGTCCGTCTCAGCTGGGGGGAAATTAAATATTTTCTAACAATAGGGCATCTGTCTCACTATCTATGATGTCTTGAAACCCAGAGTTAAAAATGAACATAGGCCCTGGCTGGGTAGCTTAGTTGGTTGGAGCATTGTTCCAATATGCCAAGGCTGCAGGTTCAATCCCCAGTCAGGGCACATACAAGAGTCAGCCAATGAATGTATAAATAAGTGAACAAAAATTGATGTTTCTCTTTCCCTCTTTCTCTAAAAACCCACACATACGTTAACATAAAAAAGAGCCCGTCTTTGTAGTGCCCCTGAGGTTCTTGGAAGTGAACACCCTCAGCCCAGCTCACAAGGGAACACTGACCAGGTTTCAACCCAAGTTGCCAAACACAGAAATGAGTCGTCATGAAAAAGCATCAACAGACATGCCTTATAACTATTTTTAAATGACTAAAGATGAAATAAACATGAAAAGATAATAAAGTTAGAGGTGAAAAATAGCCTTTGAAGACCATGGACAGGTTAAAGATCAGATTAGGCATAGCCAAAGAAGGGTTTAGTGGACTGGAAGATAGAGCTGAAGAAATTAGAATATAGCACTGAGATAAAAAGATAGAAAATATGAAGATGAGAAGATTCAGCATGGAAGGGGTTCTGGAAGGATTAAAAGAATGGGAGAGGCAATACTTGAAGAGGTAATGGCCGATAATATTCCAAGACTATGGAAAAGAGGAATCCATCTCCTAGCTTCTTCCCAACATAGAGCAAGTACTTAGTGTTGGGGCCATCTACCTTGCACAGGGCTCCGTCCCGTCCTCGTGGAGGGGAGGAAAGGGAGAGATTTACCCGAAGCACCAGCCTCATGGAGATGAGGCTGTCCAGGCCCGAGTGGTCCAGCTGGAAGCGCTGCTCGAGGGTCAGGTCCGCATAGGGGAGAATCTGGCACAGGGGCAACTCCAGCACTCCCAGCGCGTACTCCTGGTCGTCATCCAGTACCTGCGCAACAGGCCAGTCACAAAGCAGGAGAATCACCACCCTCTGGGCCCAGCCAACTCTGAATTCACTTCTGTAAGCATGGACTGTGCTGCTATGGGCCTCTGGTCCTGTTCTGAAAACCAGGAATGGGAGCAGGCCTGCTCCCTGCCTCATCAGGAAGTGAGGGACTCAGGGTAGAGGCAGCCATGGGCTATATAAGGCAAGTGTGTCAGAGACAGCGGGCCTGGGGCTTTCAGGGCTGGTGAGCTGTGCTGCTCCATGAGGGGACGCCAGGCTGAGGCCCTGGGACCCCCAAGGTCTCAGACAAGTCGTCGTTTAAGCCTCCATTGACTCTTGCACAGATCTTTTGTGAAAATAAACACATGGTAATGTCCTGAGTAGATTTCACACAGGCCACTCTGGGTGCGGTAACAACCAAAGACGTTCACAGGGAGAGCCGAGGGACCTGAGGGGTGTGCCCGCCGCCTCTTACCCAGTGATCTTGGGCACAGCCTCCCTGAGATGTGGGGCCTGCCTCTCCCACACACAGGATCAGACCACACCGCTTGTGGGAAGCCTCAGGCGGGGCTGACTATGGCCGGGGAACCGGCTCGTGATGCACTTCGAGCTCCCACCCCCCTGGCTTAGACACCTCTTAGCTCTGACCCAACAGCCCAGCTGCCAGCAAACCTTGAGATGCAGCTGCTCCGATGCCACATTGCCCACAAAGAAGGAGAACACCTGGCTCCACACAGGGTCCTTGCTGCGGGGACAGGTCTGGGGACAAGAAGAGAGATCATTAAAGGGTCTGGTTGGGCAGAGCAGGACACCCTGTGCTCTCTCTCCGGCCCCCAGGGACCTCTGCCCATGATCAGACCCATACTCGCTTGTGGGGGCATTAGGGCAGGGTAGCCAGACTCATAAGCAAGGAGAGCTTTGCCAAGAAGTGTTACAGGGGCTGAGAGTCCTAGCATCATGCTCGTTCTGGAGGGCAGGTTTCTGCTGCTGGACTGGGAAGCGGGGTGGTACAAGGGATGTAGAGTCATGCCTAAACTTGAACCCCAGCTCTGCTGCTTTCTAGCATGTGCCCTTGGGTAAGTCAGTGATCTCTCACCCTCAGATTCTTGAACTATGTGAGGTTACTTTGAAGATTAAATAAAATGTAAAGAGTCTAGAATGTGTCCTGGCACCTGCTTGGTATTGAGTGTAAGCTAATTCCCTTGTCTTTTTCTTCTCCCCTGAGAAGGGTTGGGGCCCCCATTTGCGTGTCCCGTGGCTACACACCAAGCTGTCTTACCTTGCTCACGTACGTCTTCTTGCCTACAGATAGCTTGACATAGGAAGAAGGGTCTCTGCTCACCTTATTCTGTGAGGGGGCAAATCACAACAATGGGGGTGGCACCATCAGTGTCAGCTCAAGATGCCACACCCTCCCCCCACCTCCCAGCCCTCAGGAGCGTCAATGGGGCCTGTGGCCAGCCAGCTGCTTCCCTCTGGCAGGACCCTGGCGGCCGTCTGTGCAGGCACCTGGACAGGCTGACCCCGGGGGCCTAAGGGAACAGTGAGCTGGCTGGTACAGGCACACCGCGTGGATTCAAGTTCCAGCTCCTCCCTTAATGTGTGACCCACGCACTCAACCTTCTGGGTCTATTTGTATAATAAAATGGCAGTAAGATTGAACATGGTCATCCTATTTCACGGACACCATGAGTGGGGGATGAGTTGCCAAGCCCAGTGCTTGGCACCAGGGAATTTGACAAGGACAGCCCTTTGCCAAACCTAGGCTGTGTGCGCAGACTGTCCCGGAAAGCATGGGGCTGGGTTACTCTGGAGAAAAGGAGATCTGACTTGCCCTCAGGTTTTCAGCCGCACACACACTCACCTTGGCAAATCTGGAGAGCTTTTTGGCTCGATATTCACCATTCAGGTACTCAAAAGGGTTTCTCTGCAGCACAAGAAGACATTTCCGTTTCAAGTGAGCATTAGGAAGGAGCGGGCACAAGGCAGGCAGGGTGTGGGACACTGACCACACCACTCACCGGCAGGTTGCAGGCGCTGTCCAAGAAGACCACAAGGATGGCGGTGGAAAGGCCAGCGTGGTCCTGCAAGCAGACAGACCTCATTAGGTGTACCGTGGAGGGAAGCCAGGCCCTGCCCTCCAGCTGGCCAGGAGGTCCCTCACAACCTAGCTTTTCTCTTAGCGCTGAGACTCCAACTGCAGCATGATAGGTGCAAGTCAGACACAGAACTAGGCTGTGGTCTTTCCTGCAGTCTGGGCTGATAGGCACCAGCAGGTTTAAGGATCCCAGCTTCCCTGAAGGAGGCTGAGATGCTCAGAGGGGAGGAGGAGAGGGAGAGAAGACCGAGCCCGGGAGCTGGCCTGGAGACTAAGATCTGGGGGCTCAGCCTGCACGTGACCAGCCCCGCTTTCTGTTAGGGAGCCCCAACACCTTGCACTCACCTCAGTCAGAGCCTCAGGGTCAGCGATCAGCGAAAGCCACTCCAGCCGCAGGTGCAGCCGCCCGGTGGTGGTATCATTCAGGACAAACCACTGTGGGGAGGTGAGGCGGGAAAGGAGAGCTTGGGGCTGGGGCCAAGGAGGTGCTACCGGCCCTCTGCAGGCAGCTCCGGTCTGGGACCCTGCGGGCCCAGTAGAGGCTCCGGGAAAAGGGGAAGCAGCCCAGACTGGCTGAGGGACTGGGACATGTGGTTTAGGAGGAAGGGCTGCACTTTGGGATGGAAAAGCCCTCCTACCCAGGCCCAGCCCTGCAGTGACCATCCCCTGCTGGAGGTCCTTGGGCTGGGCATTCCAGGGACGCTCCTTCCAACCCAGGCCTTGGAGGGTCCCCTGGACCCATCTGTGTCTTGCCCCTGAAGACCAGTATGTGTGGCTCAGCATGGGAGGGGCCCATTTCAGAGGCCAGCTGGGCTGAGGCGACCTGCGAGAGCTGTCCGCGGGAGGGGCTGCCGCACTCTACCTCATCCACCACTCTGTTGGCCATGACATCCCCGAGGGAGATCTGCAGGCTGGAATACACAGGGAGGGGTCAGCTCAGCTCCGAGGAGGCAGGCAGCAGCGGTGTGGCGGGCCCCCTGGAATCTGGGCTCAAATACCTGAGCGCGCCCTCAGCACCCAGGATCTTACTCATGCCGGGGGGTCAACGGGAAGGCGCTCTCAGCTCGAGGAGGAAGGACTGTCTCAGCCATCCGGGCATGCTGCCCCAGAGGCAGGTGGCTTCCACCCCAGAGGGGAATAAGCAGATAATGCTGGGCACATCGGCTCTGAATTCTCAGTGATGGTATACTGGCATTTGAGTGGAATTGTCAGGTGCCCTCTAAACGCCATGGCTCCACTCCCCACGGTCACTGTAACAACCCCAAATGCCTCTCCATTTCCAGAACTGCCCAGTGCCTTCCACAGGATCATGCAGGCATGTGTGGGAAAAGGTAACACCCACATTCTCAGTGTGCCTCCCAGCTATCCCGACTCAAACCAGAGGGGAAATTAATTGCATGTAACTGTCGGAAGTGTGTTTGAGCTCCAAACCCACTTGAAATCAATTACAAAAACATAGGAACCATAAGCCACACTTCAAATCTGCAGTACACTATAAAAATTACTAAGGTGAGAAAAAAAGATGAGCAACACTTGCTTCTGAACTATTTCTTAGGCTGTCAGGTCCCACTTTGTTTTGTTCAGACTTTCTAAAATTCTGTGTTCATGGAAACAGGCTGAACAACACAGGAGTGTGCAGCTTCTTGTAAAATTTGTTTCCACCTCCCAATCCCAGCCCTCTGGGACCAGCAGTGTGAGCAGACTGCTATGTACATGAACATGTACACACATGTACACACATGGGTCCCCCTGGGAAGGTGACTCAAACTGCACGGTCACTCCCACCTGCCTCTCTGCCTACTGCAAAACGGACTTTCTCCAGGTCAACGCAGATCCTGCTCAGGGTTTAAAGCTGCAGAATATCCTCTCGTTTGGCGACGGCGAGTTTACCCAAATACTCGGCCAGGGTCCTCTGAGGCTGGACGCTGGTGTCAGGCTCTTGCTTTGCCACCTCTGTTCTCCATTAACACTTCCGGGTAATGTGTTTAGGGGACCCGGAAGTGGGCAGCGTGACAGGCAGCCCCAGCCAGGCCGTGTCCGTCTTCACGCGCCCTGGGTTTCTGTGTTCTGGCCCCGAGTGAGTGGCCAGGTTTCCCTGACATCCATGTCAGCTTTGCCCCTGCCCCCTACCGGAAATGGGGACTCTGGGTACATTAGTGAGAAAACGGGGCCTGTGGTACATGAACCGTGGGTCCTCTCTGTGTCCCTTGGGCCCAGAGTCCAGGGAGGAACACTCAGGAGACACGGTGGAGGAGGTGCGGGAGGCCCCGAGATAGAAGGCCCAGCGCCCCAGGCCCGCAGCCCTCCTCACCTGCCCAGGAAGTCGTCCCTGTCAGTATCCTCGTCATACAGGTCCACCTCCAGGTCCTGCCCAGGGACTTCGTACACTAAGAACTGGAAGGGAAGGGGTGACGTGACCCGCAGGCCATGGCAGCGGATGAAGCAGACTCATCCATGACCCCTGGGGAGCCAGGTTCCAGCGCCAAGCTGCCAGCGGGAGCCCGGGCAGGTGCCCAGGAAACCCTCCTGTGAGAGGCGCCCCCTGCAGGTGGGGAGAGGAGAGGCGAGTGCAGGCCCATGCGGGGTGGTGCCCAGGACACAGCAGCTGCTGGGTGTGCTTGGCAGGTTTGGCAGCTTCCAGGGCCCTTCCCAGGCGGCGGGCCTCCTTCTCGGAGCAGGGGTGTGGTTAAGCTTAAGGGAGAGCCTCAGCCTCTGGGGTCTGGCTCTGGCCGACAGGATTGGGCAGAGGTGCCCCGAGGTTTTCTCTCACTTAGATATGAAAGCCTCCAACGAAGCTGACTGGGGGAAAGGATATGGAAGCTCCTCTATAAGCTGTCCGTCCGGGGCCACGACAGCCCACCTCTGGGAACGCGGAGGGTTTGGGAAGAGGAATCACGCAGACCATTCTGCCCGTCCCCAAGGCCCACTCCTTTGGCCAGTGCCGCCCCACAGACATGAGGGCCAGGCCTCCCGCCTGCCCCCAGCGCGGCCCAGCGTGGAGCCCGCAGGACATCCAGGTGGCTGTGGTGGCCAAGGGGCCCCTCACCTCAAACACCTCGTTCCAGGTGGGACTCAGGCACTTGTAGACGGTCTTGCTGCGGAAGTGCTGCAGGCCAATGCTCACCTTGGCGTAGGGGTCTGACTTGCCTCGGATCCCCAGGAAGTGGTCCATCTGGGCCAGCTTCTCCGCCTCCAGCAGGTGGACTCGGATCACCCCCTGGAAAAGGCCCAGCGCAGGGCTCATCGCTGTGCCAGCCCCCAAGGCCCGCAAACCCGGGCCAGAGCCATCAGACACCACCCAGCCACCTCACCCTCTCCTCGGTCTTGGTGGGGAGACAGCAGCCAGAGACGGCGGCCTCCTGGCCAAGGCCACGCAGCGTGTGAGGGCAGGCCCAGAGCTCTGTCCACTGCGTCTCAGTGCCCCGCCCACACTCCTGCCTTCCCCACCTGCCCTGGGACTGGCTGATCCACGGCAGCCGCTGCCGCCCATGACGAAAACCACAGCAAACCGAGCCTCCTGAGGTTTCCCATCTGTAACCGGCATGCAGACTGACCTCCAGGGTCATTTCTTCCCTCTGCCCAGGTGTATACAGCCCGCGGGCATTGCTTGCTGCTGGCAGGGGGTCCCTGCCCTCCTAAAAGTCCCAGCACTGTCTCCCCAGCCCCCTCCCCAGGCTATGTCCTAAGAGCCAAGGACTGGGAAGAGTAGCCTTCCTGCCTGGAACTATTTCTTTTTAAATATTAGTAAGTACGTACGTTTTTCCCTTGGACCCAACCATCCCATTTTCTAGCCCTAAAGCCATACTATAAACACGTCCCAACAGCCTGTTTGTCCCAGAAAAACATAAGACACAACTGTGTGTCAGTGAGGAACCGATAAAATTCGTGCAGCACGTCTGCACGTGGAGCAACCAGGTGGCCCTCAGAATGAGGGCTCCATCCACACAGTCAGGGAGAGATCCCCAGGACACGGACTGACACAGCAAGGCGGGGAAGTGCTATGCGGCCGTCCACCGAGGAAAGGGGTTCTGAGGACAGGTAAGCAGGCATCAACACAGGGGCGTATCAGCCATCTTAGAAAACAGTGAAAAATAGTGTGTGGGGGGAGAGGAGGAGAGAAACCACTACTTCCAGGGAGAAGGTGTAGAGTAGGGGGAGGGACAAGGGCTAGAAGCCAGACTTCTTAAAATATAACTTGTTCTTTATATTGCACTTTGGAAGCATGCTCATCCTATATAATAAAAGGCTAATAAGTAAGTAGTCCGAATGGCAGAACAACCAAATAACTGGTCACTATGACGCACACTGATCACCAGGGGGCATATGTGGAACGTGGTGGGCATCGCCCGCAGCAGGATGGTGGAGCAACTGAGTGGGGGCGCCAGTCACTGTCATCGGGGCGAGCCTCTGGAGGTTACTGAAAATTCTTTGCTCCTGCGTGCTGCGGTCCTGATTGGTGCTCGCACTTGCTGTCGGTGCCAGCCCTGCTTGCACCCACTGCCGGCGCTGGAGCTGCCACTCGCACCCGCTGCCAGTGCCCGGCATTGGCCTGATTGCTCAGCCCCATCAGCAGGTGTGAGCAGCAGCTGCTGGCCCCAATCATATCCCAGGGCTTCTCCACATCCCCCTGCTGAGGGGCAATCAGGGCAGTAGCTGCCACTCACACCTGCTGATGGCGAGCGCAGCCTCACGGCCCACAGTTCCTTTCAAGGTGCACGGATTCGTACACTGGGTCCCTAGTCTATATATATAAAAGCCCAGCGACCAGAACGGCAGAACAACCAGAATGACCAGTGGCTATGATGCACACTGTTGCAGCCAACCAGCATGATCCAGGCCCTCACAACCCCAAGTGGCCCCCCCATGACCTCACCCATGCACAAATTCATGCACCGGGCATCTAGTGTTTTTATATGATTGTAAAGTTAAGGTAAAAATTAAACCCTAAAAATATAAATCAATATAAACATTCATGGGCAGCTGGTGTCCCAAACACACAGAGGAACTGTTCCCGGTGAGCCTAAGTCGCGGCCGCTTGACAGCATACCTGGCGTGGGACCCCAAGGAGTGTTTTAGCGTTTGTGACGCAGGTGGTGGCATCACATTGTTAGTCTGAGACTGCCTCACCGTAGTGGGATGGAGCCCACACTCCATATGGGAAGGCCGACAGGATGGACTGAATGTCCCTTGCGATCCAGTCCCTCAACCCTGCATGGCCTGCATAGGCTGATGGCCTTGCCTGGTGCTGATGGTGAAGTGGGCACTTTCTCCTTTCCCGAGGCCCCGACCCCCAGCCCTGAAGGCTCAGGGCCGCAGCCAGGGCCCCTTCTGTACGGAGCCGCATGGCTGCCCTCAGGGGCCTCCTTAGCTGGGCCCAGAATGGGAGTGGGAGAGCAGTGGGCTGAGCACCCAAGGAAGCCCCCCGCCTGGCTCTACCAAACATTCTCCTTCCCAGCAGCCCCCGAGGATGGAGTCAGGAGCCTCATGTCCCCGAAGGAGGATGGGAGCTCCTGAGTCTCCTGGGGCAGGGGCACAGGGTACCAGGATCCAGGAAGGAGTGCCACCTGGACTTTGCCCTTCCCTCCTGTATGGGTGACGTTGGACAAGTCAATCCCAAGACTCAGTCTTCTCCCTATAAACCGGAGGTGCCATGTCCCCCCCATGTGAGAATGCATTCCCCTCCAGCCATCTATCCCCAGCTCCAGGCCCTGGGCACTCAGCCCTGGCAGCTGCGGGCACTCACGCAGGGCAGAGGGTAGCGCAGGTTGGTCACATCCAAGCCCTTCTTCACGGGCACGGTCACGCGGTTGGGCAGCACCAGGTGGGCGGCGATGAGGTCCTCCAGCAGGCTGTCTGACATCTCACTGGGACGGTGGGCACGACCAGCTGTGAGAGGTGGCACTGCCTCCCCCCCGGCTGCCCATCCCTCCAGCCATCCCCGGAGCTGGCACAGGAGCAGAGCGCCAGGGTGGGCCCTGCCTACAGCCTCAGCGTGGTAGCTAAGAGTGCCAGCCTGAAGCTGTGTTAGACTCGCAGGAGCTGTGTGACCTTGGGGAACTTGCTAACCTCTCTGGACCTCAGTCTTCTCATCCCTAAACCCAGGATCATCATACCTGCCCCCCAGCGTTTGACGAGGATGACTTACATGTGGAAAGGGCTGAGAGCAGTGCCTGGTGCACAGTGAATGCTGGATGAGTGGTCACTACCTTAGCCATCTGGTTCCTCCCATCACATCCATATTCTCTTCATCTTCTGGCTGACTCCACCCCCCAGAGGGGGAGCAGGGACTGTCCCTAAAAGAAGGTTCCTCCCCGCAGGTGGGGGACAGCTGCCCACGCCTGGTGAGCCAGCGGTGCATGCCCGACTGGCCCAGCTGGCCCTCCCTGCTGGGGCTGTGTCCACAGAGGGCTGGGGCCCTTCTCCGCTGGGGGCCTGCAGCTCTGGGTGCAGCACCCTCCCTGCCAGCCCCAGGAGGAGGGATTTCCCAGACCATTTCCTCCTCACTGGTGCCCCACTGAGCGCCTCCCGCTCGCGGCCTGTGCCTGTGGCCATGGTGGGGCGGCCACACGGGCTTCTCACCACACATTGGTGAGCAGGATGAAAGCAGGACACTCATGTGTCCACACCCACCTTGCCACCACCATGGGCGAGTGGTCTCTACCTTAGCCCTCGGGTCCCTCACATCACATCCTCATTCTCTGTGTGAGAATAAACAAGTCACCTTTTCTGCCCAAAAGCATTTTAGACAGCTGCCTTTTGGGACTGTGTGACCTGGCAGCCGCCATGTTGGCCACATGGCTTGCAGCTCCCTGGGGGCTGCCATCTTGAAACAGCAAAGGCCAACCCCTTCTCTTTGAATTAGCCAATCGCGAAAGACTGTGCGCCTGAGCTCCAATCAAGAGCAAGGGACAGGTCACATGTGTCAGGGATTATGAAGCCCAGCAGACCACCTGCTCAGTGTGCATGTGTGAGCACCCTTCTGCGTAGAAGTGAAGATGTTTGCCTTGCTGCCTGGCTCCCAAGCATGTTTTGTGTTCTACCAGGACCCCTGAATTCAGGGGCTCACCTTATTTCTAACATGTGCTCCACTTTCACTGAGGAAGAGCCCAGAGAGGTGAAGCAATTTGTCTAAAGTCACAGCTGCTAACCAACTGCGCCAGGAGCCTCATTAGCCCCCACGCCTCCTCTAGGACATCCCATCGGATCAGAGCCGCTCTCCCACGTGTGTGTGTGTGTGTGTTCTGAGGACAGTGCCTGCCCACAGAGGCCAAACAATGCTGTCAGCCTCCCACTCCCACCCTCCGTGTCCCCCAGAGGGCAGGGAGCTGGGTGCTTGCCCCGCTCCTCACACAGGGAGCCGGGAGGGCGGGCAACCACTGTGCACCGGCCCTGAGCTCAGCCCCAGGACCCCTGCCCGGCTCCGCTGGCGGCTCTCACGGGCACTTACTTGATTCCCGGTGCGTCCAGCAGGTTGGTCAGGCCAGTCCAGTTGATCTGCAGGTGCTGCAGGCAGAGGGGCTGTTAGTCTGGAAGGAGCCAGAAGCCCAGGACTGAGAGCCCTCTGCCAAGCACCCACGCCCCCTGGAGAGCCCAGCCTGCTGAGGGCGCCGGCTCCGGCGGGCCGGGCTGTCGGGCCTGCTGCTTTCCTGCCTGGGTTATGCAGCGTGGCCAGCGCCCAGGCCCTGGGGGGCCCTGCAGCTTCCCTGAGCGGCGCCTGGTCTCGGGGAGAGCGAGTCGGGCGCCTCCGGCTGCGGTCCATTTCACAGGACGGGCATGTGGAGAGCCGGTCTAGGGGGCTTAGGCATCCGTTCGTGGTTCAGGCCCAGCGCCTGGGGCTGGCAGGCCGGCCTGGCGTCCGGGGGCTCACCGGCTTCTGCAGGAAGAACACGGTCACGGCCCCCACGAAGGGCTTGTCCACCAGGAGGGGGTCCAGGATGATCCGCAGCGTGCCCTGCAGCTGGACGGCACCGCGGGCTCCGTGAGGGACTCTCCCCTCTGCCTGCCGTCCCCCCTCCGCCCAGCCTGCCGTCCCCCCTCCGCCCTCGCCTGCCGTCCCCCCTCCGCCCAGCCTGCCGTCCCCCCTCCACCCAGCCTGCCGTCCCCCCTCCGCCCAGCCTGCCGTCCCCCCTCCGCCCTCGCCTGCCGTCCCCCCTCCGCCCAGCCTGCCGTCCCCCCTCCGCCCTCGCCTGCCGTCCCCCCTCCGCCCTCGCCTGCCGTCCCCCCTCCGCCCACGCCTGCCGTCCCCCCTCCGCCCTCGCCTGCCGTCCCCCCCCGCCCAGCCTGCCGTCCCCCCCCCCCCCACGCCTGCCGTCCCCCCTCCGCCCACGCCTGCCGTCCCCCCTCCGCCCTCGCCTGCCGTCCCCCCTCCGCCCAGCCTGCCGTCTCCCCGATGCCCACGCCTGCCGTCCCCCCTCCGCCCACGCCTGTCGTCTCCCCGATGCCCACGCCATACTCGTCAGGACCGCCTGCTGTCACCGCAGGGCCACACCCACAAACAGAAACCTGCCACCTCTGGCTAGCTCCCCAGGGGCCATGAGCTGGCCCCCACCGCCTTCCCGGGGGGCGCTGGGCTGAGGGCCTGCAGCCTCGTCCACATCCCAGGCCGGCCTGCCAGCGAGGCCCAGGCATGGCTCCCTCAGCTCCTCTCCCCCTCCTCCTTCTCTCCCTCCTCCTCCTCCTCCTCCTCCTCCTCCTCCTCCTCCTCCTCCTCCTCCTCCATCTGTCCGTTTCCAAGCACGGGGTCTGCATCACCCCATCCCCAGGGCCCCAGCCTCCCTGAGCCGCGGAAGTCTCTCAGACAGGGACAGGCTCAGGGCTGAGGGCTCTGGGGCTGAGCTGCAGGCTGGGGGCCCAGCAGTCACTTCCTGGCCGTGTGACCTGGGGCTTGGAACTCTTCCGTCATTACCAGCCTGTGTGGTGTCACCACCCCCTTTTTTTAATTATCTATTTATTTATTTTTAAGTATATTTTATTGATTTTTTACAGAGAGGAAGGGAGAGAGATAGAGAGCTAGGAACATCGATGAGAGAGAAACATCAACCAGCTGCCTCCTGCACACTCCCTACCGGGGATGTGCCCGCAACCAAGGTACATGCCCCTGACCGGAATCGAACCTGGGACCCCTCAGTCCGCAGACCGACGCTCTATCCACTGAGCCAAACCGGTTTTGGCTCACCACCCCCTTTGGCAGCCTGCTCCAGGATGAGCCTGTGTTTTCCCTGGCTTAACCCCCACCCCCACCCCTTCCCCTGGGACAGGAGTGGGGGCAGCACCATCGGGCCCCACTCACCTGGATCCCGTTCACACCAGCCTGTATCTTCTGCAGCTCCACGCTGATCTCGCAGTCCCCGATGTAGCTGAAAGGGGCGGGAGAGGAAGGTCGGGAAGAGGAAGGTGGGAAACCAGCCCGGGCCCTGCCTCACCCGGATAGGGTCTCCCTCCTGGCTCTGACAGACATTGACCCAGGCCCCTGCACCCAGGCTCCATGCACATCCCCAGCTCTGCCCGTGATGACCGTGACTCTGAGCATCACCTGGTCCCATGACACCCAGGGAGGTGAAGGAGGGGAACACAGGGCCCACCCCTCTGCCACTGCTCTGCTCCTGCCGCCCTCTGCCAGGTCTCTTCCCCACGGACAGGGCAGCCAACTGCCTGCAGCCAGCCCTCCCCCGGGTGGTGGCTGGGGTGGGGGAGGGAAAGGCAGTGCTCTCAGGAGCCGAGTCCTGCCGGTGGCTCCTGCCAAGTGCTGGGCACAGGGCACTCAGAACGGGGGGGAGTGCCTCTGAGGCTAAAGGCCGAGACCCTGTGACAGGACTGGAGCGATGCGGTGGCCACCCAGTATCTGCAGGGCACAGGCAGCGGAGCTAGAGCCCTGGAAGGGCCAGGGTAAGCCTGGGGACTCGGAGGCTGAGCAGGAAGCTGGGTGGGGAAGCCAGGCGACCCTCACAGGCCCTGGCTATCACACAAGGCTCCGCAGCAGTGCCCTGGGGCCAGATCCCAGCACACGTGAGAGCAGCCCCCAACTGGGGATGGGATTCCCAGAGCCGACTCTGTCCTCAGTGCCAGCCTCTGGGACAAGGTCAGGAAATACAAGGCACTGAGAAGGAACGGCAACATTCTGGGGCCTTGGGAGTTAGTCCTGGGTCCTTTAACACATAATTCCGATCTCACCACCTCCAGGAAGACTTCCTGGGTTCAATCTCCCTTCTCACCGACCCAAGGCCTGTTGCAAACCTCATTCAGAAACGGAGCCCTTGCCCAGCCCACTCAGCGAGTCACTCGTGTGTCTCTGCCTCCTTCCGTTTTCAGAGGAGCCACAGGGCCCAGATCTCCTGCTGGCGTCTCGTGGGGGCCTCACCCCACGCCCCAGCATCTTGTCACCTGTGCTCCCTCTTGCAACATCCTCAGTGAGGCAGCTGCTCGGACCCTCGAGGTCAGACCTGGCCCCAGCCCCTAGCCTAGGAAAGCTCAGCTCCTGGCCTTGGCACCCAGAACACGCCTGGTGCCTGGTCTGCTGGAGGAGCCAGGCCTGGGCTGAGGGGTCCGAGGGCGGAGGCTCCCTGGACCATCCCTTCTGCTGAAACTTCCCCATCCCGAGCTCCAGCCCGGGGCAGCTCGGGGGGGAGGGGGGTAATATCTGCTCTGAGGGGCAAATCAGAGCGTCTACACGCCACCCCATCTGCACACCGGCTGCTCCCACAGAACGTGCCCCGGACCCACGCCGCCCCAGGCAGGAGCCTCACCAGATCTGCAGGTCCAGGACCACCTGCCTCCGGTTGTGCTTGCTGGTGTGCGCCTTGACGCCGTTGACCCGGGGGCACTGGAAGAGAGGGGGCGAGGTCGGCGGGGGGCATGCGGCAGGGTGGCCGCCGCCCGCCTGGCGCCGGGTACTGTCCACAGTGACCAGCACGACCTCTGCGCTCCGAAGGCATCACCGCAGGAACCCACGCCGCGGTCCCACCGGCCTCAGTCACCCCGGTACTCCCCTCCCCGGAATGTGCCCCTCGTTTCTCTCCCCTCCACACAGTCACTGCGCTCCCAGCTGCACCCGGCGCCGGGCTGGGAGAAGGTGGAAAGCGAGGTGGCCAGGCCTGGCCTCCCAGCCCGCAGCCCGCAGCCCGCAGCCCCCGCCCCCAGCCCTCAGCCCCCAGCCCCCATCCCCCAGCCCTCAGCCCGCAGCCCCCGCCCCCAGCCCCAGCCCCCAGTCCACAGCCCACAGCCCCCAGTCCACAGCCCCAGCCCCCAGCCCCAGCCCACAGCCCCCAGCCCCCAGCCCCAGCCCCCATTCCATAGCCCCAGCCCCCAGCCCCAGCCCACAGCCCCATTCCACAGCCCCCAGCCCCCAGCCCCCATTCCACAGCCCCCAGCCCCAGCCCCCAGCCCCCAGTCCACAGCCCCCAGCCCCCAGTCCACAGCCCCCAGCCCCCAGCCCCCAGTCCACAGCCCCCAGCCCCCAGTCCACAGCCCTCAGCCCCCAGTCCACAGCCCCCAGCCCCCAGCCCACAGCCCACAGCCCCCAGCCCCAACCCCACAGCCCACAGCCCCAACCCCCCAGCCCTCAGCCCTCAGCCCTCAGCCCCAGTCCTCAGCCCCCAGCCCCAGCCCTCAGCCCCAGCCCCCAGCCCCCAGCCCCCAGCCCTCAGCCCTCAGCCCCAGTCCTCAGCCCCCAGCCCCAGCCCCAGCCCCAGCCCTCAGCCCTCAGCCCTCACCCCCAGCCCCCAGCCCCCAGCCCCAGCCCTCAACCCTCAACCCCCAGCCCTCAGCCCCCAGCCCCCGCCCTCAGCCCCCAGCCCCCGCCCCCAGCCCAGTGAGGAGACGGCGGGGAGGGAGGGAGGTGCAGCCTGCGCTGCCACGTGGGCATCTGGGGATGGCGGGGGCACCTCCTGACCCGGCGTGGGGCGGGCAGAGGGGAGCCAAGGCTTCCTGGAGGGGCGTCTGAGCAGTTCGGGCAGAGGAGGAGGCAGCGGCTCCTCAGGGCAAAGGAAGCTGCAGGGTCAGTGATCTCACCCTAGTGATCAGAGCCCCACGCCAGGCCGAGGGCTGGGCTCCCAGGCCACCTCTCTCCCCTGTGAGGGCACTGAGGAAGGCCTGGTTATCATTCAGCAAGAATCGAAAATAACCTTCATCTGCATGTGAGTGACGCACACACTGAAGTGGACAGGGGTGAGCCTCACTAATGCCTGGAATTCTGTGTGAAACGTGCGTTCGAAAAGACGAGGGTCAGGGCACGGGTATGAGCTGATGCAGCACAGCGCAAGGCTCAGTGTGGCGTCCAGATGGTTCTCTCAAACTTTTGTTTTTGAGAAGTTTCACAATTAAAACATTAAAGAAAAATGTGATCAGACTTAGAGGAAACATTTCATCCTCTCTTTGTTCTCCTGGAAAGTGATGTCTACAGAGGCGTTGTCACATGAGAAGGTTATCAGAGTACGGAGCCAAAAATGCAGGAGAGAAAAAAGTATCATCGGGGCCTGTTGGGCAGTTAATGAAAATGATCATGTGGTTTTTCCAGTCTTGGATAAGTGTGAAATGTCAAATGTGTAGAAGTTGCTGTGACTTATTTTCTCAATCTCATATTTATTTAATATTCATTTTTTTTGCCCTCATTTCACATTCTTGTCCTTTAAGGGAGCTCCCAGAATTGTCGAAGCATCAGGCCCTCAGCCCCTGGCTCTACCATGGCCTCCAGACCGGAACAGTCAGTGGAGGGGAGGGGGGAGGGCGGTGACATAAGTGACTTCCCACAGCCTGCTGCTCCCAGGTGGTCGGTGTGAAAGCTCAGCAGCCCCAGGACCCCATCTGCAGAGCGAGTCCTGAGGAATTGCCCTCCTGAGACCCACCGCAGAGAGGAAGGAGAGCCGGCCTGTGAGCATCCCTCTGCTGGCAGGCTGCCCCAGCCCAGGGCTCACAGCAGGGGAGGGCAAGGCTGGGCCTGGCCCCTGGCGTGCTCTCCGGTGTTTAAGCTCTGCCACTCACACAGCCATGCAGAGTGCGCCGAGGCCAGACCGGGTCACGCCTCACAACCACCTCAGAAGCAGGTCCTTTCCTTACGGATGAGGAAACACGCTCAGAGAGGTCACGTCACTGACCCAAGGTCCTCACAGCACAGAGCGGAGTTGGGCACGGACACAGGAATGGAGGAGCTGTAAACACTCAAGGGCATGACGGAAGGGCTGAGGTGAGTGCCCTGGTCCTGGCCGAGCCCAGGCGGGTCACTCCGTGAGCCCCCAAATGGAGAGGGGTTGGGGGAGAAGCCAGGTCGGGAAAGAGACGGGAAGGGAAGAGCTTTGAATACCAGGAGCCAGGTATTTCTCCTGCGGGGCTGGGGCATCTAGTCAGCCTGTAGGCCCCTGGCCAGGTTCCCCTGAGGTGATAAAAAGTAGCCTCAGGCCTTGTTCGGTTCGGATTCCGGTCAAGGGCATGTTCCTTGGTTGCGGGCATATCCCCAATAGAGGATGTGCAAGAGGCAGCTGGTCGATGTTTCTCTCTCATCAATGTTTCTCTCTATCCTTCTCCCTTCCTCCTCTGTAAAAAATCAATAAAAAATATATATATTTTTTAAAAAAGCATCATTCTCAGGATCAGCCACCTCTAGGCCTGTGCCTGCTGCCAGCAGGCGGCGCTCTCCAGCAGTGCCACATCCCACAGGCACACCAGGCTATTGGCCTGACTGAGCAGGCTCTGCTCTCAACACAGCCGTCTGCAGGCTGCCGGGCTCTCCGCCTGCAGAATTCTTCAAATGCCAGCTCAGCTACCTCCCCTCTGGGCAGCCTTCCCCGCCTGCCACCGCCCCACCCCTGCATCCACGCATTCCTGCACCCCTGCACAAACTGCCACGCACACTGCCACGTCCTCATCCGCCTGTGCGTGCATCTGCCTCCACAACAGGACAAGCACCTTCCTGAGGGCGGGGCCGCAGCCACACCCACCTCCGCCTGCGGCGGATGCCTCGCACACGGCCATGCTCGGAATGAACAAATGAACCAGTGGGATCCCTCGGGCCGGCCGTGACCGGGGCAGGGGGCAGAGCCTCGGCCCAGGCTGGCCGCCCCCAGCCGCACTGACCTTCCGTCCGAAGTCGAGCTTGGTGAAGGTGAAGGTCCGCAGGTGGACGCTCTTCTCCCGGATCTTGGGCTCGAGTTTCTCCCGGAACTTGTTTTCCATGATTAAGCTCAGGTAGGGCCAGATCTGGGCGATGACCTGTGGGGATGGGACGGGAAGAGGCCCTCAGTGGTCAGGGCTGTGTCCCCCACCCCAGACCCACAGCTGCCTGAACTGACATTTGCAGGCCTTGGAGCACGGCCATCTCCCGCCTAATCCCAGCCCTCACTGAAAAGCTAACCTGGAATTTCACTTCCAAAATTTAACAACATTTTATATGTTAAAATTTTATTTTGACCACTGGTTAGACGTGAGTGGGGGTGGGGGTGGGGTTGGAATGGGGATTGAGGACAAATATGTGATACCTTAATTAATAAATTAATTAAAAATGGATATTATAGTTTTATGCCACACAAACTTGTGTAATAAACTCCGAGAAGATTTTAAAAAATTCTATTTCAAATATATGCCTATAAGGGCCACAGGATCCTCTGCACTGCCCATCTGCCCGCCCAGCCGGCCGTCTGCCCGCCACACAGGGCTAACTACAGCAGTGGCTCTTGCTCTCGTGTAGACAGCAGGCCCCCAAGATCTGGCGCTGTGTGCAGAACAGCCCGACACAGACAGTCCTTCACCACACCGAACGAAGTCCTTCCGTCCTGCGCTAACACACCCGCTATCTGATCTTCCCTGTGGGATAAGTAAGGAGCAGCAGGCCTGGAGTTTAAGGGGAAAACACCACAGAAGAGAAACCAATTGTCTCCTGTGGACATAGGCTTTTTCTAGCCGTCAGAACAGGCTGCCTCCTCCGGCCGGTTTCTCTGCAGAGTGACCACGGCGGGTCTGGGCGCCCGCGCGGGGCCGGGGAGGGGAAGGCACGGAGACGGGCCTGGTGCCGCAGGCTCCTCTCCCTTCCCTCAGGCTCCGGCCTCAGTTTACAGAGGGGGCTCCCCAGCCGGGAGCGGGAGGCTCGCCCCTCTCCCAGGGGCCTCCCAGGGGCTGGTCCCGCCTTCCCGTCTCGCTGCGCTGTCACTTGCCAATGGCCTCCTGAGCACTAGGCTCTGTGGGACGCACTGGTGCGCGTCAAAGCAAGAAGATACCATGCATGCGGGGCCTGGGAACACACAAGCACACAGAAACACACTACGGGGCGGGGGGGGGGGCCCACACAGGACATGGTGTGTCCCAGAGGCCCTGGGCCCGCACTGACCCACGGAGATCTGCTCCCTCCCGCTAAAGCAGCAAACTGCTTCCTCCACATTTCACCCAGAGGCCGAGAACAGGTGTTTTTAATATTTTCATTGCCGAAACCGGTTTGGCTCCGTGGTAAAGGGTCGGTCTGCGGACTGAAAGGTCCCAGGTTCGATTCCGGTCAGGTGCATGTACATTGGTTGCGGGCACATCCCCGGTAGGGGTGTGCAAGAGGCAGCTGGTTGATGTTTCTCTCTCATCGACGTTTCTAGATCTCTATCCCTCTCTCCTCCTCTCTGTAAAAAATCAATAAAATATATTTAAAAAAAAAAATATATATATATATATATATATATATATATATATATATATTTATTTATTTCAGAGAGGAAGGGAGAGGGAAGGAGAGGGAGAGAAACCTCAGTGATGAGAGAGAACCATTGATCGGCTGCCTCTTGTACACCTCCTACTGGGGATGGAGCCTGCAGCCCGGGCATGTGCCCTGACTGGGAACTGAACAGTGGCCTCCTGGTTCATAGGTCAACGCTCAACCACTGAGCCGTGCTGGCCAGGCAGAGAAGCTTTTGATCCACTCGGCAAAGACATTTGGGGTAATACGAGAATAGCAACCTTAGATCAAACACAATCGGCCGGGCCCTATGTGGTTTGGCTCAGTGGACAGAGCATCAGCCTGCGAACGAAAAGGGTTCTGGTTCGATCCCAGTCAAGGGCATGTACCTTGGTTGCAGGCTCCTCCCTGGCCTGGTGGGGGCGTGTGCAGGAGGCAACCGATCCATGTGTTTTTCTCACATGGATGTTTCTTTTTGTCTTTCCCTCTCTCTTCCTTTCTCCCTAACATTTTCCCAAGGGAAAAATATCCTCAGGTGAGAATTAACAAAAAACACCCAAACAAAAAACAAAACACAATCCGAACGCTTTTTTTCTATTTAACCTAAGTCATTCCTATCCAGAACAGAGGCGAGGTTTGTGTTCAAGTGTCCAGGGGGACTGCACGAGCCTTTACAGCGAGGGGCAGCTCTGGGCAGGGCCCGGAGGAACGAGTCTGCTTTCTCACTGCAAGGGGAGGGGCCGGACCCGGGGCATCTGAGCAGCCACACCTGTGAGGACAGCCATCCTGGCACCCAGGAAGCCAGGCACCGTGGGGCACTAATTACCTCACTAATCCTCGCACCAGCGCTCTGGCAGGGACCATAATCGCTCCCCTGCACGGAGGAGGGAGCCGGCTCTGAGACGCCGGGCAACCTGCCCGGTCGCCGGGCCAGTGCTGGCGGGTCTGGGCTGGGAGCCAGGCCAAGGCCAAGGCCAGAGGCAGCTGTGGAATCAGCCCCCTCCGCTCCCAGGCAGCATCTCTGGGCCGGGGCCGCTGGAGGCTGCACCTTCCTTCCTTCCTTCCTTCCTTCCTTCCTTCCTTCCTTCCTTCCTTTCTAAAATATATTTTATTGATTTTTACAGAGAGGAAGAGAGAGGGATAGAGAGTTAGAAACATCGATGAGAGAGAATCATCCATCAACTTCCTCTTGCACACCCCTCACTGGGGATGTACCCACAACCAGGGTACATACCCTTGACCGGGACCGAACCTTGACCGGGACCTTTCAGTCCGCAGGCCAACGCTCTATCCACTGAGCCAGACCGGTTTCAGCGAGGCTGCACTTTTCTGTCTACACTCTGTATTTCCTGACGTTTGTGCTGCACCATGCATTAACTGCACAGGAAAAAGCATGTGTTTTTCATAGGAAAGAGAGCCATTGGTGATGAGAAGAACCGGGAGGGAGGTAAGGGCTAAGGGGAGAGACGGGAGGAGGCCACCCACCACGCCAGGGCAGGAAGGGCCTGGGCCCACATGCTGCCCTCCCCCTGCCCCATCCCTGCAGGTCCCTCAGCAGAGGGAGGCGGCGGGAGGCCCTGGAGTGAGGTCAGCCCCACGCACGGTGCCCCCAGGCCTTACCTTGTTGGCCCACTCGACCCGCTCCACGTCCGGAAAGTGGATCTAGAAGAAAGAAGGCCCGAGGGGAAGTTAGACTCGAGAGCTGCAGGCTCCTGGCACCAGACGGGCTGCCGGGGCCAGCCGGGCCGAGCCGGGGGCAGGTCCCCTCCGGGCGCTGAGCGCACTGGGCGCCCGGCCATTGACTCAGCGGCCCTGCCCTCAGGGAGCAGCCGGCCGGCGGGGCCCACGCTGGGCTGTGACACTGACCGGGCACCAGACACCAGCTCCGCCAGCTCCGGCCTGGGGTGCCCTCCCGGGTGGCTGTGGGGATCCTCCTACCCCTCCCTCCCCCCCCCGGGGCTCACAGGCTGGAACCCGCTCCTTCTCTTGGGCACACAAGGCCCACCTCCTGGTGGAAGCCAGCAGCCCCCGCCGGAGCCTCTCCCTGGATAACACGGGGTTTGCTCCTGGCACCATATTCCTGTGAATGGCACAGTGCTCGGCAGAAAAACTAGGATGTGTAGCTAAGCAAAAGGGAACGTATTTTATCAGGGAACGCCACCAGTGGCGGCGGCCGGCCGTGGGCGGGTGGATACGCTTCCTCCAGTCTTTCCCAGAAGCAGTTTTCACAGATACGGAGGTCACACTGAGCCCCACAATGTGAGGGTGCAGACTCTGCAGGTCCCTGGTGCCCATTCGAAAAGCCAGAAAGGGCATCCTGCTGCTGGTTACATCGGCAAGCAGGGGGTGGGGCTGCCGAGGGGGACCCTCCTCCGTGTCCAGAAGCCCCAGCTGAGCCCCACCCCACCCCAGGAAAGAGGGCCCTCAGGCGGGGCGGGGGTGCAGGGTGGGGGGGGGGTCTCCTGGTCACAGTCCAGCCAGTGCCTGCTGCTGAGTCCTGCCCGTCCGGAGAGGGAGGTCCCCAGGACGCAGTGAAATCCTGCTGGCTAACGGTTCCCTGCCATGAAGAGAAGGAGGGCGCTTCACACCCTCCCCTGGGGTTTCTGGGATGGACGGAGGGCAAAGAGTGTGTGGGGCAGCTGGTACAAAGCAGATGGATAACATGGCCACCGCTAGCGCCATGCCCCGAGTGCAAGGCAGCTCAGAGAGATCCACTGGGCCCGGACCTCCCCGGCGGAGAAAGGGCTGGTCCTTCCCATCAGCTCGAGGCTCACTGCCCGGGGACGGAGCAGAGCTGTCCCTGCAGCCCTCGCACCCAGCACACACCCTCCAGGCCCCAGGGTGCCCTCCAGGCCCAGGCCCAGGCCTCTGAGACCACTATCCCGGGGAGAGCCACTCCCCAGGGGCCGGATCCCTGGAATTCTCACGGACACAGGGACACCGTTTTCAGCTTGTGAGGTCCCAGGGGCCCGGCCCTGAGGCTCAGGGGCTGAAGGAACGCTTCCTGGCTCCCGGGAGGAGCGCTGGCCCAGGCCCCAGGAACAGAGGGGGGTGACGGGGAAGGGGGTGGCAGGGCTGGGGCCCGGCCCCCCAGTCCCGCTGGAGAGAAGCAGCCGCTCACCACCCATGCCCGCAGCTGCCCGGAGCAGGCCCCGCTGGGTACTGGGGAGTGCCCCTACCACACGGCCAGCACTGACGTAGACATGCCTGCTCGCGCGCTCTGGGGGCCCCAGCCAGTACCCGGGCCTCACCCCCCAGCACATCCCCCGTCTGAAGTAGTCGCCTTGACCTCTTCTGCCCCGGCCCAGGCCTGCACATCCCATTCCCAGGGGCTGAAGCACACTTCCCTGTTCGCCTTTAATTGCCCCGTTCATCACCCTCCCAGACTCCACTTCCTCCCGGCGGCCCTCCCGGCCTCAGGCGGGGGTGAGTGTCCTGTGGCGTGTCTGCCGACTCCCCCGCAGCGTTAGCACACGCTGGCGCTGCCCGGTCTCCCTGCCTCCTGCCGGGACTGGAAGTGCCAGTGGGCTGACTCAGCCTCCATCCCATTAGGGCCTGCCCTGGGCATGCCAATGTCTTCATGCATATTTGTGGAATGAATGAATGAATGAATGAATGCAATGTGCTTGGCCTTCAAGGAGCTCCCAGGCAAGTGAAGGAAGCAGGCAATCCACAGACCATTCCAGGGCGGGGTCAGAGCCGAGGGGGCGGGCGGAGGGGGCATCGCAGAGGAGAGCTTGGTGACAGCTGGGCTCTCCCTGGCACCTCCAGGCTGGACCCCTTACGCTCCTCCCACCCTAACCACAGCACTTCCCACTCACCCCGCCCCAGGCAGATGTGTACCCCTTCCTCCCCGGGCGGCCCTGAGCAGCTCTCCTCTCCTGGACCCGGAGGAGGTGGTCCAGGCTGGCCACGCGTGGGAGCGGGTCAGACAGAGGCTGCCGAGCCGCCCCACACGGGCTGAATCAGGGCGGCAGGGCGGGGCCTCCCCTTTATCTTTAACAAGCTCCGGGCATGACTCTGGGGTTCAGCAGGGGCGACGGGGAGGTGCCCCTGGCCAGCCCATCTCTTGCTTCAGCGTGACCCACACTCACCCCGACGGGGAGGGCGGCCACGGGAGGCCCAGGGCCGCACCGATGACCTGGGCCTGGTGTCTCCGGGCCGCCCAGGCCTGCGCTGGAGGCTTCTCGCTAAGACATCCCTCCAGACAGCGAGCCTGAACCCCCAGGCAGAGCAGCAACTCAGACCAAGAAAAGAAGAGACTGTCAGTTCTTTTGAGTGCCAACTTCAATCTCACTACAGACTGATTCATTTGCCTCTCCGCATAACCATTATGGCTTGTCTCAGTTTAGGTTCTTACAAGGGTATTTCTTGGATCACATGATCTCACACATCTAGAGGAAATGATGAACAACATAGACTGATGAACAAAAACAGACCCAAAAGAAAGAGAAGAGCAATCAGACTCTCAAACCTCAGAGGGAAAGTAGGGGAGGGTGGGGATAAGGGGAAGAGATCAACCAAAGGACTTGTGTGCATGCATGTGGGCCTGGCCAGTGGCCATGGACAACAGGGGGTGGGGGCATATGATGGGAATGGGGGGATGAGGACAATTATGTGATACCATAATCAATAAAAAATTTTTAAAAATTAAAAAAAAAAAAAAGGAGAGACCGTCAGGTCCTGCCTCAGGCATCCTGAAGGCCCTCCTCAGCCCCTCAGCACCTGCCATCCCTCCCCAGGGGCCACACAGCAGCAGGCCGTCTTCCCGGTGCCCCCGACAAGTCTGGCCCAGGGGATGGAATGAAGAGACTGGCATTTATGGGGCGGCTCCTCGTACCCAGCACTCAGCCCGACGTAGACAAATTACTCCGTTTTCCATTCTCATCGGTCTTTTGGGGATCTTTCCCTACTTCTAATTCTTAACTACTCTGTTTTTATCTATGGGCTTCATATTTTAGCTGTTGCACTTAGTCCGGGATTTTTAAATAGTGGGTGCGATAGGCTTATCATTTCATTTCTCTTTCCACTCTAAGGCAATTTTCTAACATCACAAACTAAAAATTAAAAAAGCCGAAACCGGTTTAGCTCAGTGGATAGAGCGTCGGCCTGCAAACTGAAGGGTCCCAGGTTCGATTCCAGTCAAGGGCATGTACCTTGGTTGCGGGCACAGCTGGTCAATGTACCTTGGTTGCAGGAGGCAGCTGGTCAATGATTCTCTCTCATTGATGTTTCTAACTCTCTATTTTTTAAAATTTCTTTAAAAAGGCCACTTTTCTCCTGACTTGTGAGGCTACGTCCCTCCTGAGTCGTGTGCATTCTCACGCGTGGCTGAACTTGGTGCTGGACTTAGCCTGGTCTGTCCCTGCACCGTCACCATTCCGCTGTAATCTCTCTGGCTCTGCAGTACCACCGGGGGAGGGTGAAGCCCCCCTTTTTGCTTTTCTTTTTTAGGCCGATTCAGAACATGGCAGGTATTTATACTTCCATGGGAACCTTAGCATCATCTTATCCGTGTGTCTGTCTGTCTCTCTCTCTCTCTCTCTCTCTCTCTCTCTCTCTCTCTCTATATATATATATATATATATATATATATATATATATATATAGATTGCTCTATTTTTTAATTTATAAATTTGTAATAGAACTGACATCTTTTCAATATTAAGTCTGCATCCATGACGAGAGTATTTCCCTTTATTAATTCACATGGCTGTATTCACATAGGGTCACAAACTGCGTTCTATTAAAGTCCTGGGCATATTTTGTTAGCTGGCCTTGACGGTGTGACAGTTATTAGAAATTTCATTCCTAATGGGCTACTTGGTTGAAATCTGTTATGAGTTCTAATCACTCACTGATTCTCAGAGGCTATCTACATTCATTGATAATCTCCAAATAATAACTCCTGTTGTTCTTTGCTCCCGGCCCTTATCTTTACTATTTGTTTCTCTTGTGTGACTAGCAGGGTGGTAGCGAGCACCGCTATCCTGACCCTGGCCTCAACGGGAACTTTCTAACACGTTGCAGGCCCGCAGTTCCATTGCTAGCTTCACCCAGTGGGCAGAGTACAAAAAACGTTTTATATAAATATTAAAGGCACGCTTTCCTAAAGAGAAAATAAACAAATGGGACTACATCAAAATAAAAAGCTTTCTTACAGCAAAAGAAACCATCAACAAAACAACAAGAAAGCCCATGGTGTGGGAGAACATATTTGCAAATAACACCACTGATAAAGGTTTAATCTCCAACATCTACAGACAGCTGATACAACTAAATAAAAAAAAAGATGAATGATCCAATTAAGAAATGGGGAATGGACCTAAATAGAATATTTTCAAAAGAAGACAGAAAGAAGGCCAAAAGGCACATGAAAACATGCTCAAAGTCACTAATTATCTGAGAGATGCAAATCAAAACAACAATGCAGTACCACCTCACACCTGTCAGAATGGCCAACATCAACAAATCAACAAATGACAAGTGTTGGCAAGGTTGTGGAGAAAAAGGAACCCTCGTGCACTGCTGGTGAGAATGCAGACTGGTGCAACCACTGTGGAGAACAGTGTGGAGTTTCCTCAAAAAACTGAAAATGGAACTCCCATTTGGCCCAGTAATCCCACTCCTAGGAATATATCCCAAGAAACTAGAAACACCAA